TCCTGTGTCTTACAGTCCCTGCAATGGTATTCTGTTTAGTTGGCCTTGCCTCGCCGCCCACCAGAACGTACTATAGTTCAATCCCCTGTACATGCAGAGGACCCCCCCCCCCCCCCCTTCCACCCCACCGTGTTCCCCCTAGAGGTTAACCTAGCCTCATAAAATTGTGTTTCAATGTGAAATAAAAAATGTTGCTAAATCTGCCAGTTCTGGATCTACAGACCCGCCAGTACTTAGTGGGTGATGTGGTCACACATCCTGCCGGCCACGCCTTTACTTTCCAGACATTGGCCTGGTTACCTATTTTTATGCTGTGTCCAATTTGGGAGATAATCCTTAATTATGAACAAAAAAATCTGACCCCAAGCAAATTTAAATCCTTGTCCTTCAGGCTAGCAAGCAAGTGTCTAACCATTACTCTACGGCCGTACCCATGAAAATATGTACCAGACAATTTCCAGATTTTGTTTCTAGAAATTATTTTGGAAAGAAAACTGAGGAGGAAGTAGACTGGCCATTATTTCATATGTGAAACACTAGAATACATCAATGTTGACATGGCATGTTGTCAATGTTGACATGGCATGTTGTAAATGTTGACATGGCATGTTGTAAATGTTGACATGGCATGTTGTCAATGTTGACATGGCATGTTGTCAATGTTGACATGGCATGTTGTCAATGTTGACATGGCATGTTGTCAATGTTGACATGACATGTTGTAAATGTTGACATGACGTGTTGTAAATGTTGGCATAACGTGTTATAAATGTTGATTTAGCATGTCGTAAATGCCGAAGTGGCATTACTATATAATATTGACACTGGCAAAATTGTAAATGTTTTATTTAGCAGGCTTAAATGTTGACAAAGACACCAACACCTGACGATGTCTATTTCCTGGTGCTTGTTGCTATGAGCGGGATACCAGCCTCTGATATATCTTGCATTTGATACTTGTGAAGTAATCAGTGAAGGGTGATCGGAACACCACCGCAGAATACTCCTGCACCAACTGACTGATCAAAATAGGGTCTTGTGAGTTGGTTTCCAATTTGCTTCTCCACTGTTTCAACCAGGTCTGTTGGTGAAGAATTTAATGTATGCAGTTAAATATTGGACAAATTACCGAGGCTCTCAGCGGAATCAAAGAACAGTAATTCTGCACACTACCAGGCATGTCGTAAGAACTGACTAAGGGTAGGGTGGGGCTGGGGGGTTGGCTACCTCTTCTTGTAAAAACAAAAAGCTACAAAACCAACCAACCAAGAAAAAAAAAAAAATAGAAAAACAAGAAATTCAATAAAAATATAACAAACATAAACAGGTTTGCTACATATACAACAACACATTACTGATAAAGAATATAACATGCAGTTATAAAAAGGTAAAGTAAAGTCAGGAGATTTGAACCAGCATCACTGCACACAGTTATAAACCATAAGTGCTCTGCCACCAGTAAGGACAGCTAAGAAATTGTCCGCCTGTGTTGCCGACTGCACGTAACTCTGTAGCTACAGCGACGTTCCTCCATTTACCCTAGAGTTTCAACTCTGGTACTCATTTCCTAGAAGCTGGGTGAACCCGGGGAAACGGCCGGTTAAGAAAGCCGACTGTGGGCTGCAGCGAGTCGCAGCTGTATTTGAAAGTGAGTCTTTTATCGACTGCACTAACATGGCCCCAACACGCAGTTATGTATTGTTGTAAATAAATATCCCATGTCTATGCTTCCTTGATTCTTCAAGAAAAGCTGTCTTTTCTGCTTGTCTGCACCAATTTGTTCGGCCAGTGTAGGAGAGAGATGTCTGAAACCTCAGGACTGAGGGCTGCATGGCTAGAGCGGTCACCGTCGACTGTGCAGGTTAGGTTTTTTTCACCTCCGATAGAAAAATAAATCCAATACCTTACCAAGAATGTAAGTCTGATTCTTCCAAATGAGAGCCCTGCATTCTGAACCCTTCGGCCAGCCACTCCCTCCTGAATGCTTAAATGCTTCAAACTTGCTGTGTCAGTAGAAAGTGGACTGCACCAGGCAGCAACTCCATCTTAAATGCTTCAAAATCACTGTGTCGGTAGAAAGCGGACTGCACCAGGCAGGCATTCATTGGCACTATTCTATTTCAAAATCAATACCGGCTCTTCACCAGCACTCTCAGGCCCTTTAATCATTTTGTCTAGTGCGTAACAATGATGCTTGCCTCAGCCAAGTTCTTCACAGAATATGTGATTTGGAAACTACTCCTGGTTGTTCACCCATGTGTGGACTTTGGTTTTCTTCCGGGACTTGAGTTTTGCATGCACATCTGTTTTACAGATCTGTTTATTTGCATGCAGATTGTTGGTTGCTCACTTCTCAGGCAGATTTGCTCTGATTTTGAAGGAAATGTCAATCCTATCTAAGTTTGTCAAGCCCTCCAGGTAAAGAATCTATTTCTAGGATGGCCACATGCAGTCCAGGCATGACTGATGCATTTAGGTAGCATTATATAGTCTAATGTGACTGCTTTTTGCACCAGATACTAAAGAACTACTTCTGGGCTTTATCATTCAATGAGGCAATTCATAGCAAGCGATCATATTCTTGGCAGTGGGTGGAACTCACCTAACGCCCTCTCTATCTTATTTTCCTTACTTTGTACAAATCAGATTAGTCATCAAATGTAACAAATATATTCAGTCAACGTCACATCTATTTACAACAATAACAACAACAACAACAACAACAACAACAACAACAACAACTAAGCAGACTCACTGCATCCTGTTCGTACTGTAATATTTTCGTATAAATTAGCCTCTGTTCCTGTTCTTCTTTTGACATTCCCGCAGGGGCAGCAAATCTCCTAAAAAATATCAACAATCAAACATTGTTTCTGATGTTAGGTGTCAACAACGTTAATCAAGTTCTACTGTTAACAATTTTAACCAGCCTCTAGTGTTAACAAGTGCAGCACTTTTTAAAAAAGTGAACAAGCCTGACAATTTTATGATCATTGGGATACCAGGTCTGTTTCCTGCAATGAGTGATTTATTTAAAAAAAATGTTTTTGTGACATTTTGACCTAGGAGAAATTCAACATTGAGGGGAAAACACTGAAGGGACAACACTGAGGGGAAAACTGAGGGGACAACATAGGCAGACTTTAATCAGGTTGCAACTCGAACTATTAGCATGTTGTTCCTTCATTGGTTGCTGAAGCAGGGGATGCAGCATGTGTGGGATTGTTTCGAACGCAATGATGTCAGTTACTGACTGATCCATTCATTATTGTAGAGTCTGTGTCTATCTCAGAACACAACTCTATCTCAGTACATGACTCTATATCAGTACATGGCTCTATCTGAGAACATGACTCTATTTCAGTACATGGCTCTATCTCAGAATATGACTCTATATCAGTACATGACTCTATATCAGTACATGACTCTATATCAGTACATGACTCTATCTCAGTACATGACTCTATATCAGTACATGACTCTATCTGAGAACATGATTCTATATCAGTACATGACTCTATATCAGTACATGACTCTATCTCAGTACATGACTCTATATCAGTACATGACTCTATATCAGTACATGACTCTATATCAGAACATGGCTCTATATAAGTACATGGCTCTATCTGAGAACATGACTCTATATGAGTACATGACTCTATCTCAGTACATGACTCTATATCAGTACATGACTCTATATCAGTACATGACTCTATCTGAGAACATGACTCTATATCAGTACATGACTCTATCTCAGTACATGACTCTATCTCAGTACATGACTCTATATCAGTACATGACTCTATCTGAGAACATGACTCTATATCAGTACATGATTCTATCTGAGAACATGACTCTATATCAGTACATGACTCTATATCAGTACATGACTCTATATCAGTACATGACTCTATCTGAGAACATGACTCTATATCAGAACATGACTCTATCTGAGAACATGACTCTATATCAGAACATGACTCTATCTCAGATCATGACTCTATATCAGTACATGACTATCTCAGAACATGACTCTATCTCAGTACATGACTCTATCTCAGAACATGACTCTATCTCAGTACATGACTCTATATCAGAACATGACTCTATCTCAGTACATGACTCTATATCAGAACATGACTCTATATCAGGACATGACTCTATATCAGTACATGACTCTATATCAGAACATGACTCTATCTCAGAACATGACTCTATATCAGAACATGACTCTATATCAGAACATGACTCTATATCAGTACATGACTCTATATCAGAACATGACTCTATATCAGAACATGACTCTATATCAGAACATGACTCTATATCAGTACATGACTCTATCTCAGAACATGACTCTATATCAGTACATGACTCTATATCAGTACATGACTCTATATCAGTACATGACTCTATATCAGTACATGACTCTATATCAGAACAAGACGCTATATCAGAACATGACTCTATATCAGAACATGACTCTATATCAGAACATGACTCTATATCAGATCATGACTCTATATCAGAACATGACTCTATATCAGTACATGACTCTATATCAGAACATGACTCTATATCAGTACATGACTCTATCTCAGAACATGACTCTATCTCAGTACATGACTCTATCTCAGAACATGACTCTATATCAGTACATGACTCTATCTCAGTACATGACTCTATATCAGTACATGACTCTATCTCAGAACATGACTCTATCTCAGTACATGACTCTATCTCAGAACATGACTCTATCTCAGAACATGACTCTATCTCAGAACATGACTCTATCTCAGTACATGACTCTATCTCAGAACATGACTCTATATCAGTACATGACTCTATCTCAGTACATGACTCTATCTCAGAACATGACTCTATCTCAGTACATGACTCTATATCAGAACATGACTCTATCTCAGAACATGACTCTATATCAGTACATGACTCTATATCAGTACATGAATCTATCTCAGAACATGACTCTATATCAGTACATGACTCTATCTCAGAACATGACTCTATCTCAGTACATGACTCTATCTCAGAACATGACTCTATATCAGAACATGACTCTATCTCAGAACATGACTCTATATCAGTACATGACTCTATATCAGTACATGACTCTATCTCAGAACATGACTCTATATCAGTACATGACTCTATCTGAGAACATGATTCTATATCAGTACATGACTCTATCTGAGAACATGATTCTATATCAGTACATGGCTCTATCTGAGAACATGACTCTATATCAGTACATGGCTCTATCTCAGAACAGGATCTATCTCAGAACATGACTCTATCTCAGTACATGACTTTATCTCAGAACATGACTCTATATCAGTACATTACTCTATCTCAGAACATGACTCTATATCAGTACATGACTATATGGTAGAGTATAACTCGGATCTAAATGAAACTCCTGAAAACATATAATAGAATTAGAAGACGCCAACTAGAAACTGGAAATATGGCTCAAGAGACAAGTGATCAATGAATGTGACCCTGGGCCCCATGATGGGGGAAACAAAAGAATGGACCCACTGCTTCCCCTTACAAGCTGCAGGCAACTACTTAGAGGATTGCTAAAATTAGATGTGTTGGGCCAAAAGATGAAGATACTGCAGCCTAGCTGTAAACCACAACACAGTAGGTTAACTGACCTTTGAAGGGTGAATGCAGAAGAGGAAGAAGATATGATTGTTCAGATGACAAAGAGAAGAGAGAATATATTTTAGTCTTACTTTGCTGCTTTCTCTTCAAGCCGGAGATTTCTGGCTTGCATCTTCCTGGCAAGCTGGTTGAGAAACAGAAAACCACTCAACAAACCAGCATCATGGACACCTGAATAACTTTCTCTCCATATCAACCTCACTTTGTTCATACTGTCTCTAATAATGGCGACTTCACCACTGAGGTGACTTCGGTAAAATTATTTTGAGAGTAAAATGCCTCTAATCTTACATTTTCAAAGGTTGTCTTCAATACCCTGGCCAGGGAGGATTTTATTACTGTCCGTCAATGGCAACGCTTACCTAACTGATGTGATATCTTGAATCCCAATGATTTCAGGACTGAAAAATCTTTGACATTAACATTTCAAGAATATGATGTTTCAGAGAAGGATCAATTCACAACTGAGATGATGATAATAATGATGAAGACACTATGATGTGTCAGTAATATTAACTAAAATCAATAATCTTGCATGAGAAAACAATAACTTCTTATAAATGAATAATTACCCCAAACACATCTCATCTAAACACTTCTACTAAATATTTATCAACATATAAGTTAATTAAACATACATTTCAGCTTAAGAAAAAAAAAGCAATTGAAACTAAAAAAAAAAAAAAAACATCAACAAGAGTGAAAAAAACACTAAAAAACTGCTACCTCAATGTCAACACCAAAGTGGTAAATGAGGAAGTGAAGAAGCCACCTCCACAGCAGGATTTGGCCACCAAACAATTATGCATCCACTGCCATCTTTAAAAATATGACATGCCGAGACGCTGACCTCTTCAAAGGCACAAATCTTGAACGCTCAGAAAGACACAAGAACTAACAACAAAGAAAACATCAGACACAAGTGATGTGCGAACCTCTTCCTCCTGCGCCTTAGCTATGGCAATATTCTCTGCCATTTTTCTTTGAATGGTCAAACTCTGAAACAATTTTAATGAATTATTCATGAGACGGAATAATGACAGTTTAACAAATGATGACATAAAAACAATACTTATTTATCAATTTATAAGACGGCATAGTTTCCGTTTATAAATTAATGAGATCAAATAATTTGACTGTGAAAATTAACATAATCAAAACTGTCACAGTTTTACTGAGTTTTAAGATGGCATGGTACATATTTATTACTTTATGTGATGGTCACTGGTAACGTTTTATCTTTACAGACGATAGCATTTTATTGTGCTATAGGTAGGCAGGGGAATTAATAGCTCATGGTGATGGGCATTCGAGGTCTGTGACAAATTCCTCCCCCCCCCCCCCCCAATTCAGCACAAAGCCTGAGCAGGACTGCCTATGTAGTTTGATCCCTCCCTCTGCCTGCACACTCCAAAGAAAGGGAAACACCTGGAACAGAGCATGCTGCAGAAAACTGGTGGATCAGAAAAGAAGTACTCTGTTTGTCTTATCTGATGGCAGTGTACTAGTTTATACATTAATCATACGGAAAGGAAACAACAAGTAGAAAAAAACTTAGTCTATCAATTGCCAACAACTGAGGTGACAGCTTAGTTGGAGACATGATAATTTATCAGATGGATTGGTGAAATTTTATATGGAATCATGGAAATGCACACATTATTACACTTATGTAACCCTATACTTCTCGTCCTTTTTCAGGATGACACGGTGATCTTTTTGTCTGGTCTGAAAATCAGGGCTCAAAATATGCATCATCGTGAGGGTTCTGGGGCCCCATTCTGGTGAGGGTTCTGGAGGGGGGGGGGGCGGACAGAACAGACACACTGCCTCCCTAATAAGCATGTCATAAAAGGCAACTAATTTGGGGCAGAGAACATCTGACTGCAAGGATCCAACAACAGCAACAAAAAGACAAAAGTAAGCCAGATCTGTAAAACAGATGTGCATGCAAAACTCAAGTTCTGGACAAAGACTAAAGTCAAGAAGTGGATGAACAACCAGAACCTTCCTGCCAGAGTTTACAGCTGCTGAACACTAAGAAGTGACCCAGGTTGACCCAACCTAACATGGAACCCAGGTAATGTCCTGGGAAGTAAAGGTGGTCAGCTGGATTCTGACCTCATCACCCACCCACCAAATGCCTGATGGGCTGCCGGCATTAAAAAAAAGGATCCTTTATGATATTTTATATTGTTTATATTTATTTTGTTTATGATATCTATATTGTGTATGATTAGTCATGATGTGTATGATATTTATGATGTTTATGATATTTATAATGTTTATAATATTTATGTTTGTGATATTTATGTTTATGATATTTATAATGTTTATAATATTTATGTTTGTGATATTTATGTTTATGATATTTATAATGTTTATGATATTTATGTTTATGATATTTATAATGTTTATAATATTTATGTTTGTGATATTTATGTTTATGATATTTATAGTGTTTATGATAAATGTTAGTTGCATATTCTTTACAGGGTGAGGTTTGAGGTTTAAACAACGGATCAACATCATGGCACTTGGGCAGTGTTGCCACTTTGGTTGTTTTACATCCAGATTTAGATGTTTTCCCTTGCATTTAGATGAATTAATCAAGCAACATAAAGTGTATTGTTTGGCACACATAGAAAGAAGTAGAAAGATAGAAGAACACACTAGACAACATAAAAATCGAAAGCTATAGTTACCGTGCCGGGAATTGAACCTGTCACCTCCAGACGGTGTCTGCGCCTCGCCATGAATACAAGTGCACTAAGAACATGGTCAACTAATTGCATTTAGATGGCGTTTTTGATGTTTAGTTGGTAGATGTTTTTCTAAATGTTTTCCGTTTGAAGTGAATTTATCAAATCTAACCTAAGAAACAGGATGACATTTGACCTTTTAAATGCTATCTTGACAATAAAATTGGGCCTGATAAGAGTAGGAAAAGGCTGTTCCACTTATTAGCTCCATGATTGGGTATTAAAAGAAATTGGAACAAGTAATGCTAGAATCATTTTGGATCTGAAGCTTTAACTTCATCATCCAAGCTAAGTTTATCATGTGGATCTTGTAAGGCAGACTTCAGTAAAGATGAGGACATAATTCTATTGGGTAAGTCATATCAATGGCTATGTAATTTGTGACTCTTTCCATTTGGATGTTTTTTCTAGACATTTTCCACGCAAATTTAGATGTTTTTAGATTTACTTTTAAACTCCATTTTGGATGTTTTTTGTCAAAGAAAAGTGGCAACACTGCACTTGGGTAGTAACCCATAAGTGCTCCATTTTTCTTCTAACGGCTGAGTGCAAAGAAGCTCCGCACAGTGCTGACAAGGATCCTGATTCTGTACAGGATGTGGAAGACCAACCCCAACATTTGTTGCCTGTTTGTTGTTGTTGTTGCTATTGTTTGACTACAACATTTTATCTGCATTAGTCTGCCATTGCCCTCTGTGCATTGATCAGCACTCACAGAAAGAAGTAGAAAGATACAAGGATACAGAGGACAACTTTCATGAATGTATCTATAAGATAGGTATTTTATGTTGTCTAGTTTGTGGAGAAGAGAGCTGGAGAATGAAGTCAGAAAGATGGGGAGGACGTGGCGAGAGCTCCATGTAATGGTGAAAGATAAAACGACTTGGTGGGAGTTGGATGAGGGCCTATCTTCATTGGGGGATAGAAAGGCAGAAGAAGAAGTTTGCCCTTCTACCTTTCTACTTCTTGCTATTTTTATGGTATCTAGTGTATCCCTCCATATTTCCTCTTGTTTCTATGAGTGTCTATCAATACACTGTGTGTATAAATATTATATATAATGTTTTTACAGCCTCAAGAGTACATTTTATTTTTTACAAATTTATATGATATCTATAATGCCCATATTTCTCATGTGATAAATTATTTTAAAAAACTGTGCACTAACAGGACTTTATTACTTGACCTGACAAAAGCAGTCAATACTTGATGAAAAGGAACAAATTTCTCAAAAAGCATGAAACTTTCATAGTTGTACGCATTCAAAAAGCATGAAAATTACACAGCTGTACGCATTAAAAAAGCATGAAACTTACACAGCTGTACGCATTCAAAAAGTATAAAACTTACATAGCTGTACGCATTCAAAAAGCATGAAACTTACATAGTTGTACACATTCAAAAAGCATGAAACTTACATAGATATAGGCATTCAAAAAGCATGAAACTTACATAGTTGTACACATTCAAAAAGCACGAAACTTACATAGTTGTACACATTCAAAAAGCATGAAAATTACATAGTTGTACACATTCAAAAAGCATGAAACTTACATAGATGTAGGCATTCAAAAAGCATGAAACTTACATAGCTGTACACATTCAAAAAGCATGAAACTTACATAGATGTAGGCATTCAAAAAGCATGAAACTTACATAGTTGTACGCATTGAAATCAGAACGATTGAGTCTCTCCATCCTTGCCCTATATGCAACCATGAGGGATTGGTTTTGTCTCCTGGCTAATTCCATTGGAGTCAGGGCATGTGCTCTGTGGAGGCATGGTCACAATGTTATACTCATGTCACTGTTATGTTGGTTTTATTTTCTCGTTGGATCTAAACATAGGGGAGATACCAGGGAATCTGGCCAACGCTCAACACTCAAGGGAATGGCAAGATGGATATAAAATCTGACAGCATAACAACCATGTATGGAAAACCGACAAAGAGATAATCGAGGATGTCACAGATTTGGAATATTTAGTCTCAATAATGAACAACAATGGTGACTGCACACACAAAAAGTCAGAAACAGATTTGCTTTAGCAAGGAAGTGGGTAAACAGGATGAAGAACCTATGGCATAGTACCTGCAAGCAAAGTAAGGATTGTCAGGTCACTCATCTTTTCCCTGGCAACTTATGGATGCGAGTCATGGACTCTCACTTACTGAGTCTTTGGAGAAGACAATCAAAGCTTGTGAACTAAAGTGCTACAGAAGATTCTTAGAATACTGTGAACTAAGAAGAAAAAAAATGTCAAAATCCAACATGACCTGAACAACAAGGAGAAATGTGGCTCATAAATAGCAACTTCTTCCCAAAAATGTAATTATTTTAGACATATCAATTCCCATGGTGGTCTGGAGAGAACCGTGATAGAGGGTGCTGCAGTTTCTGGAGAGCAAGGCAGAATCAATCTATGTGGAGGTGGATACAGGACACTGAAGATGCTCTGCTATGACAGCACACAGGTCTGAGGAACTGGGTACAGAAAGAGAGACTTTCAGGCATGCTGTGACGAGAGAGATGTTCTGTACAAGACCTGCTGACTGACTGATCAGAGTAGCAAGTATCATTTTTTGTGTGTCTAGAGATGGTGTGGGTTGAATGCCTTAACAGAGGCAGGATTTTTTTGTCCCTTTCTGTATGGCTCTGGGATAGAGTTGGCTTCATAAAACTGGAACATCCTCATCAAACACTTTGCTGACTGCTGTTAGTGATCATGCTTCACCGCAACTCCCGATGTCCAACAGCATGTGTCAGTGCTTACATTCTATCATGCCATGATAAAAGGTCATCAAGAAGCCTCTATTCTTATCTTACACTGTCTCTCTTTCCATAATCTTTCCAGTTGTGACAACATGACCCAGTGTTTCTCTTCTCATACAGTGACTTGACAATGATGACTGCCTCTTTTTGATGTTCGAGTCTTAGCCTTTTTGAAAACATCTGAATTACTTGTTCCGGCTGTCTGAGGAATCTTGCGCTTTCTGTAAAACCACATCTGTGACGCCTCAAGAAATGTTCTGGCTTGTTCATTTATGGTCTAAAGTTCCCAGCCATAAGTAAAAACTGGTTTTATGAAGCAAACATTTATTACGGGGCTAGAATACATAAACAAGAGTCAATACATACATTCTGGGGTTTTAGAACATTCATTTATATATATATATATATACACACACACTTTGAGACAAGAAAAAACACATAGCTGTACACATAAGTACTGTGAAACTAAATATATAAGTGCTGTAAAACAGAATATATAAGTACTGTGAAACTGAATATATAAGTAAGTAGTGTGAAACTGAATATATAAGTACTGTGAAGCTGAATATATAAGTACTGTAAAACTGAATATATAAGTACTGTGAAACTGAATATATAAGTACTGTGAAACTGAATATATAAGTACTGTGAAACTGAATATATAAGTACTGTGAAACTGAATATATAAGTACTGTGAAACTGTGAAACTGTGAAATGAATAAAAATACATAAGTACTGCAAAACTGTATATAAGTGCTGTGAAACTGAATATATAAGTACTGTGAAACAGAATATATAAGTACTGTGAAACTGAATATATAAGTACTGTGAAACTGAATACATAAGTACTGCAAAACTGTATATAAGTGCTGTGAAACTGAATATATAAGTACTGTGAAACAGAATATATAAGTACTGTGAAACTGAATATATAAGTACTGTGGAGCTAGAAATATATATAAGTGTACCTAAAAGCACTGTGAAAAAAGACCATTATATTGAATATACATATATTTACTGTGAGACTAGAAAATATAGATGAGTGTACAGAAAGGTACTTTAAGAATAGAACACACACAGAACGAGTATCTATAAGTACTGTGAGACGGTAACATAAACATACAACTGATTTCATAAATTGTACATATAAGTGTAACTACAATATAGATGTCTAATAAACTGAAATACTTTGGTGATATCAAACATTACAGTGACTGAGGGACCTAACAGAAGACAGACAGTGGATGACATGATGTTGGAAGACAGGGTGGGGGTTGACCAAGATGACAGATGACTTTAAAAACATGAGCATGAAAATGCCAGAAGTATGGAAACTGGTGGAGGATCAAGAGTCCTTCAGGTGGAATGTGATGACATAAGCATCTTGCAAAAGACCTGCCACAGGCTCTTGATGAGATTTAGATATCTCATTTCTTGTTGCTGCCCTTATAAGTTTTGTGAGGCAAGAACATGAAATAAGCACACATACAAGTGCTGTAGGACTAAAACATACACCTGAGTGTACATGTAAATAACCTGAGTGTACATGTAAATAACATGAGTGTACAGGTAAATAACCTGAGTGTACAGGTAAATAACCTGAGTGTACATTTAAATACTCTGAGACTAGAACATATACATGATTCTACATATAAGTTCTGTAAGGCTAGAACAGATACAGAAGTGTACATATAACTACTGCACAGCTAGAACAAAAACAAAAGTGTACATGTATGTACTGAAAGACTAAACCATACACATCTGAGATTACTTGTGTGCACTGTAAGCATGCGGGTTATTCTCTATTGCCAGTGAGGGGACTGAAGTGATGAAATGATTTGGGGGATTTCTGGACTGATCGGTTGGCACCACTGACTTCATCTGCTGTTGTGGTTGATGCCACTGTTGCTGCTGCTGTTGAAAAGCTACAGCTGTGTTTGGAACTGTTGGTAAAGTCGGAACACCTGCAACAAGTACAAATATGTCCACAGTCCTGCACATACATGATGGGTATGAGATGTTTATCTCTGAATGTTTGATCCACAGATAAGTCTTATTTACCGATGACTGGAATATGTCACATGACAGTCAGTCATACCGACATGTCACATGATAGTCATTCAGACATGTCAGATAAGAAAGTCATATAGACATGTCACATCACACAGTAAGGAGACATGTCACATGAAAGAGTCAGACAGATATGTGGCATCATGGAGTCAGACAGACATTTAACATCCCAGAGTCATGAGACATGTCACATGAGAGAGTCAGACAGACATGTGGCATCACAGAGTCAGACAGACATGTGGCATCACAGAGTCAGACAGACATTTAACATCCCAGAGTCATGAGACATGTCATATGAGAGAGACAGACATGTGACATCTCAGAGTCAGGTTGACATGTCACATGATACAGTTAAGACATTTCAGAGTTCTCAGGTCCCATTCTGAGGAAGTAGGACAGGATTAGACCCTCTATGCCTCAAACAAGCACGTCATCAAAGGCAAATCATTAACAATTTATTAAAATTAAATGGGTTTGGGCTAAAAGGCATTCATATATCACAGACTAGCGGTAAACAACATGTTAACTGCCCTTTTAAGGACAAATGCAGAATAAGAAGAGGAGGAAGAAGAAAATCAGACAAAAATGTCAAAGTATAAAAGTGGAGAGAATCCAATTATTTCTCAGTGAAAGAATTGACATTACACATTTATCATGCAGACAGGTTTTAGCAAATATTCCATTGTTCATTAATTAAATACCTGATTTACCTACTGCACTTGAACTGCTGCTGGGGGGTATCTCTCTGTTGTGTGATGCTGAGGTCCCCACAGGAGAAGATTGTTGCATCACCAGGGAGGAGGATCCTGATTCTGATGTTACATTTTCTGTGCAAACAGCAAAAGTACAACTGTTGTTTACAGTTTCTAAACAAACAGAATTGACACAACTGTTTTACAGTACCTCTACAAACAAAATTGACACAACTGTTTTACAGTACCTCTACAAACAGAATTGACACAACTGTTTTACAGTACCTCTACAAACAAAATTGACACAACTGTTTTACAGTACTTCTACAAACAGAATTGACACAACTGTTTTACAGTACCTCTACAAACAGAATTGACACAACTGTTTTACAGTACCTCTTCAAACAGTGAAGGCAAATGTAATGACAGACCCACGGCAGAAGTTGTAATTGGAGTGTGTCAACTGTTACACCTTCACAACTTCTGTGCCAGGGCTAAAGCTGGGGCTTCTGACCCATGACGATTTCCATTTTCAACAGTCTGACCCCTTAGTAAACTTAAATAGCCCTGTTCTAGGCCAGGTCATAATAAGGTAGGGTGGCAGGTTGTCTTCCTTGCTGCCTGCTCAGGGTGATATACGTGATACTGGCTAGTCAAATGTGCCACACTGCAGTGTTACCACAACTGTCTGCCATACCAGAGGTCTTGTGCTTGAACTTTCATTCAAACAGAGATTTTAAAAAAAAAAACTAAAAGAAAAACTGACATGACTTCAGTCGATCGGTGACCATCTCCACGGTGAAGCTGACTGAAATGGAGCTCCAGTACATTCCGTCTCCTGCCTTGGTTGTACACTTTCTCAGACTGCTGTTCATTCATTTCCTAATGTTGTTCTCTAACTTGTATCATTGTCTACCTCTTTCTCTCTTGCCCTAGACCTTTGTCTCCGGCATGATTATTAAAAGACTGGTATGACTTATAATGTGGGCAAAATACTTCATCTGTCTCTTTTTATAACTTTCAGTAACTCGTTTTTGTTTCATGTGCAGTCTCTCCACAATCTCTGTGCCTGACCTGAGCTGCCACTGTTAAAGTCCGCACAAGGAAATAAGGGAAGGGCAAGCAGCTGGCATGAGACTGACCACATGAGCCACTGAAAACTGACCCCTCTGTAAACAACTAGTTGGGCACCATCATACCTAATATATAAAAGATGTTCCATCCTTCCTTCCATTGTCCATTGTTTCCCCACCTGACAATTCAACCACCCTGAGATGAAAAATCTATTTAGATCACCGGCCAACAATTTCATTCTCAGATATCCAATTCTTTTTCTTCTTCTTCTTCATTTTCCCGAGTGACATAAATGTTTTGAGCCTGTTTACAGCATAGCTATGATATCTAAGCCTTTCGGTCAAACATTAAATTTCTTCTGGCATTTGTTTTCTGGGTTAGTCCTCCTGGTGATCCTTACTTTACTTCTTGATGATACCCCTTTCATTTCTGCATACAAGTTACAAATGGAACACCCATAACAGCTGTACCACTCAGGTGTAACCTGCAGTCTTATGCAGGTAAGGAATAGCTTCATGGTGTAGGAAAGGGTCTTTATACTAGTGGTCAGTGTGCTCACCTGGATGTAATATCTTACATCAACAATTTGTTTCAATGGACATGTTATAAAATCTTATCTTTGAAGAAAACTTACTCATTAACAGCACAATGTCTATGAAGCTCAAATACTTTGGTCACATCAAACATTGGTCACATCAAACATTGGTCACATCAAACATTGGTCACATCAAACATTGGTCACATCAAACATTGGTCACATCAAACATTGGTCACATCAAACACTGGTCACATCAAACACTGGTCACATCAAACACTGGTCACATCAAACATTGGTCACATCAAACATCGGTCACATCAAACATCGGTCACATCAAACATTGGTCACATCAAACATTGGTCACATCAAACACTCATCACATCAAACATTGGTCACATCAAACATCGGTCACATCAAACATCGGTCACATCAAACATTGGTCACATCAAACATCGGTCACATCAAACACTGGTCACATCAAACACTGGTCACATCAAACACTGGTCACATCAAACATTGGTCACATCAAACACTGGTGACATCAAACTTTGGTCACATCAAACTTCGGTCACATCAAACATCGGTCACATCAAACACTGGTCACATCAAACATTGGTCACCACAAACACTGGTCACATCAAACTTTGGTCACATCAAACATCGGTCACATCAAACATTGGTCACATCAAACATTGGTCACATAAAACATTGGTCACATCAAACATTGGTCACATCAAACATTGGTCACATCAAACATTGGTCACATCAAACATTGGTCACATCAAACATTGGTCACATCAAACATTGGTCACATCAAACACTCGTCACAAACACTCGTCACATCAAACATTGGTCACATCAAACATTGGTCACATCAAACATTGGTCACATCAAACATTGGTCACATCAAACACTGGTCACATCAAACACTGGTCACATCAAACATTGGTCACATTAAACACTGGTCACATCAAACAATGGTCACATCAAACATTGGTCACATCAAACATTGGTCACATCAAACATTGGTCACATCAAACATTGGTCACATCAAACATTGGTCACATCAAACATTGGTCACATCAAACATTGGTCACATCAAACACTCGTCACATCAAACATTGGTCACATCAAACACTCGTCACATCAAACATTGGTCAAATCAAACACTGGTCACATCAAACATTGGTCACATCAAACATTGGTCACATCAAACATTGGTCACATCAAACATTGGTCACATCAAACATTGGTCACATCAAACATTGGTCACATCAAACATTGGTCACATCAAACACTCATCACATCAAACATTGGTCACATCAAACATTGGTCACATCAAACATTGGTCACATCAAACATTGGTCACATCAAACATTGGTCACATCAAACACTCGTCACATCAAACTGTGGTCACATCAAACATTGGTCACATCAAACATTGGTCACATCAAACATTGGTCACATCAAACATTGGGCATGAATCCTGGAAGATATTAAAAACACCATGATCATGAAAATGTGAGAAGTAGGGAAGCTGTTGGAGGGCCACAAATTATTTTTCTGGAATGTGAAGACAAAACCATCCTGAAAAAGATTGCCACACATGGTGATGATGGAATCAACATATCTAATTTCTTTAAAAAAATGAAAGATGTGTACCCATCTTTTCCAGGAGTGAGCTAACTCGCTCCACACACTGCTGCACCAGCTTGACTTGCTTCGACGTCTTGCTGTCCACAACAACATGGCCACCTGAACAATAAATATCAGACAATATTGACATCTGAGAACACACAAATAAGATAACATTGCCATCTGAGAACACAGAAATATGATAACATTGCCATCCAAGACTACAGAAATATGATAACATTGCCATCCAAGAATACAGAAATAAGTTAACATTGTCATCTGAGTACACAGATTTCAGATAACATTCCCATTTGAGAATACAGAAATAAGACAACATTCCTATCTGAAAATACAGAAATAAGATAACATTCCTATCTGAGAATACATAAATAAGATTAACATTCCCATCTGAGAATACAGAAATAAGATAACGTTCCTATTTGAGAATACAGAAATAAGATAACATTCCTAATTGAGAATACAGAAATAAGATAACATTCCTATCTGAGAATACAGAAATGAGATAACATATCTGATAATACAGAAAAAAGATAACATTTCTATCTGAGAATACAGAAATAAGATAACATTCCTATCTGAGAATACAGAAATAAGATAACATTCCTATCTAAGAATACAGAAATAAGATAACATTCCCATCTTAGGGAAAACAGAAATAAGATAACATTCCTATCTGAGAATACAGAAATAAGATAACATTCCCATCTGGGGGAAAACAGAAATAAGATAACATTCCTATCTGAGAATACAGAAATAAGATAACATTCCTATCTGAGAATACAGAAATAAGATAACATTCCCATTTGATAATACAGAAATAAGATAACATTCCCATCTGAGAATACAGAAATAAGATAACATTCCTATCTGAGAATACAGAAATAAGATAACATTCCTATCTGAGAATACAGAAATAAGATAACATTCCTATCATCTGAGGAATACATCTAAGAATAAGAGATAACATTCCTATCTGAGAATACAGAAATAAGATAACATTCCTATCTGAGAATAATACAGAAATAAGATAATCTGAGAATACAGAAATAAGATAACAGATTGAATACAGATAACATTCCTATCTGAGAATACAGAAATAAGATAACATTCCTATCTGAGAATACAGAAATAAGATAACATTCCTATCTGAGAATACAGAAATAAGATAACATTCCTATCTGAGAATACAGAAATAAGATAACATTCCTATCTGAGAATACAGAAATAAGATAACATTCCTATCTGAGAATACAGAAATAAGATAACATTCCTATCTAAGAATCTGAAATAATAACATTCCTATCTAAGAATCTGAGAATACAGAAATAAAGATAACATTCCTATCTGAGAATACAGAAATAAGATAACATTCCTATCTGAGAATACAGAAATAAGATAACATTCCTATCTGAGAATACAGAAATAAGATAACATTCCTATCTGAGAATACAGAAATAGTAACAAATAAGATAACATTCCTATCTGAGAATACAGAAATAAGATAACATTCCTATCCACAGAGAATACAGAAATAAGATAACATTCCTATCTGAGAATACAGAAATAAGATAACATTCCTATCTGAGAATACAGAAATAAGATAACATTCCTATCTGAGAATACAGAAATAAGATAACATTCCTATCTGAGAATACAGAAATAAGATAACACATGAGAATACAGAAATAAGAAACAGAAAAATTATCTGAGAATACAGAAATGAGATAACATATCTGATAATAACATTTAACCTGAGAATACTAAGATAACATTACATCTGAGAATACAGAAATAAGATAACATTCCTATCTGAGAATACAGAAATAAGATAACATTCCTATCTGAGAATACACAGAAATAAGATAACATTCCTATCTGAGAATACAGAAATAAGATAACATTCCTATCTGAGAATACAGAAATAAGATAACATTCCTATCTGAGAATACAGAAATAAGATAACATTCCCTGAGAATCAGAAATAAGATGAGAAATAAGATAACAATACAGAATACAGAAATAAGATAACATTCCTATCTGAGAATACAGAAATAAGATAACATTCCTATCTGAGAATACAGAAATAAGATAAATTAAGAGAAACAAATGAAGATAACATTCCTATGAGAATACAGAAATAAGATAACATTCCTATCTGAGAATACAGAAATAAGATAACATTCCTATCTGAGAATACAGAAATAAGATAACATTCCTATCTGAGAATACAGAAATAAGATAACATTCCTATCTGAGAATACAGAAATAAGATAACATTCCATCTATGAGAAACAGAAATAATTCCTGAGAATACAGAAAGAAGGTAACATTCCCATCTAAGAATACAGAAAGATAACATTCCTATCTGAGAATACAGAAATAAGATAACATTCCTATCTGAGAATACAGAAATAAGATAACATTCCTATCTGAGAATACAGAAATAAGATAACATTCCAGAGAATACAGAAATAAGATAACATTCCTATCTGAGAATACAGAAATAAGATAACATTCCTATCTGAGAATACAGAAATAAGATAACATTCCTATCTGAGAATACAGAAATAAGATAACATTCCTATCTGAGAATCAGAAATGAGAGAATACAGAAATAAGATAAACATTCCTATCTGAAGAAACAGAAATAAGATAACATTCCTATCTGAGAATACAGATAAATAAGAATACACATTCCTATCTAGGAGAATACAGAATAAGATAAATTATCTGAGAAATAAGAAATAAGATAACATTCCTATCTGAGAATACAGAAATAAGATAACATTCCTATCTGAGAATACAGAAATAAGATAACATTCCTATCTGAGAATACAGAAATAAGATAACATTCCTATCTGAGAATACAGAAATAAGATAACATTCCTATCTGAGAAATACAGAAATAAGATAACATTCCTATCTGAGAATACAGAAATAAGATAACATTCCTATCTGAGAATACAGAAATAAGATAACATTCCCTGAGAATCTGAGAATACAGAAATAAGATAACATTCCTATCTGAGAATACAGAAATAAGATAACATTCCTATCTGAGAATACAGAAATAAGATAACATTCCTATCTGAGAATACAGAAATAAGATAACATTCCTATCTGAGAATACAGAAATAAGATAACATTCCTATCTGAGAATACAGAAATAAGATAACATTCCTATCTGAGAATACAGAAATAAGATAACATTCCTATCTGAGAATACAGAAATAAGATAACATTCCTATCTGAGAATACAGAAATAAGATAACATTCCCATCTGAGAAAATAAGATAAATAAGATAACATTCCTATCTGAGATAACATATCTGAGAATACAGAAATAAGATAACATTCCTATCTGAGAATACAGAAATAAGATAACATTCCCATCTGAGAATACAGAAATAAGATAACATTCCTATCTGAGAATACAGAAATAAGATAACATTCCTATCTGAGAATACAGAAATAAGATAACATTCCTATCTGAGAATACAGAAATAAGATAACATTCCTATCTGAGAATACAGAAATAAGATAACATTCCTATCTGAGAATACAGAAATAAGATAACATTCCTATCTGAGAATACAGAAATAAGATAACATTCCTATCTGAGAATACAGAAATAAGATAACATTCCTATCTGAGAATACAGAAATAAGATAACATTCCTATCTGAGAATACAGAAATAAGATAACATTCCTATCTGAGAATACAGAAATAAGATAACATTCCTATCTGAGAATACAGAAATAAGATAACATTCCTATCTGAGAATACAGAAATAAGATAACATTCCTATCTGAGAATACAGAAATAAGATAACATATTCCTACTGAGAATACAGAAATAAGATAACATTCCTATCTGAGAATACAGAAATAAGATAACATTCCTATCTGAGAATACAGAAATAAGATAACATTCCTATCTGAGAATACAGAAATAAGATAACATTCCTATCTGAGAATACAGAAATAGATAACATTCCTATCTGAGAATACAGAAATAAGATAACATTCCTATCTGAGAATACAGAAATAAGATAACATTCCTATCTGAGAATACAGAAATAAGATAACATTCCTATCTGAGAATACAGAAATAAGATAACATTCCTATCTGAGAATACAGAAATAAGATAACATTCCTATCTGAGAATACAGAAATAAGATAACATTCCTATCTGAGAATACAGAAATAAGATAACATTCCTATCTGAGAATACAGAAATAAGATAACATTCCTATCTGAGAATACAGAAATAAGATAACATTCCTATCTGAGAATACAGAAATAAGATAACATTCCTATCTGAGAATACAGAAATAAGATAACATTCCTATCTGAGAATACAGAAATAAGATAACATTCCTATCTGAGAATACAGAAATAAGATAACAGTATAGACTTGTATAATATGCTCCACAACTATTCAACATACACTTATCCTATTTTGTATTTTTGCACCAAATAGAATGGATAACAAATGTAAAGACAAAAGTGGGTTTATTTACTTTGACATCAACATCATGTATATATGGACTGCATTTCTAATGTTGGACTGTTTGTGTTAGCACTTCGGATGGCTACCATATGCTCTAATGCGAGAGTATGCTAGATATGCTGAGACAGCAGTCTGTCAATCTTTCCACAAGGGACTGTGATAGACATTCTGAGTGTTTTTCGCTGGCACAGGAGCGGAGCAAAGATGGGGCAACCCGTTTGCTATGAAGCTGAAACTAAGACTACCAGACTACCAGATGTATATATGGTGCAAAAAATGAAACAGAAAAGTATTTTATCTGACAGCAATATATTGACTAAATTTCTTGACACATAAAACATGAAATTAGGTTGTTTTATTGATTTAGAAAATAGTGTGTAGTTCAAAAACAATGCTTAACACTGTTCAATACAGAGAGTAGCACCTGACATTCCCTACACCAGTAACTTGTCATGGTCCATTTGATGAATCCTGATCAATCAGATGATGATAATGATTCTGCGTCAAATGCAGCCATGATATCTTCCTCATGTGCAGACTCAGACACAATATCTTCAAAATCTACAGGCTCTGAATGAGTACTTTCAATAAAACTATCAGTATCAGAAACTGCCGCACTAGTGTTTGCTGCTGACCGTGTAGCTGCTGGTTAAGCCTTAGTCTGACTTGACTTTAAAGTGACATGCTGTTGTTTCACAGTCGATGATGTTTTTGATGGCACGTTTTTAGATTTTTATCAAAGTCAGACTCAACAAACTGTACAGTAATATCTTCCCCTTCCCTTTCCAAAGAAAAATCAAATAAAGAAAATTATGTGCAGCAGAAAATGATAAATATGACCACCATAATCCCTTTGAGAATTTGACCTCATGACGAAAATGTTGTCAATATGTCGATGACATGGAAGCTCACCAAAAAAATTCATCAAAAATTGACTATGAGTTATTTCCCTTAAAGTAATCAGGATACTAGTCAGTGCCCTCATAGCCTGTGCACTGCGCTGAGCTAATTCAGACTTGAGTTAGAAGTAGAAGGGAGCATTTATGGGTTACTACCTGTGTGCCATTATGTTGATCTGTTTTTCAAACCTCAAACCTTAAAGAAATATAGAGAAATTAATGGGCTAAAGGCTTCAACCAGATTCATTACAAAAATTGTGATTTAACATTACAGCGAGCGTCCAAAGTTACGATCACAAGGAGTGCGATCGTGGCAGCCAGGCATAAATGTCAGCAGATCACATATTGTGCGATCATGATAGTCAGTGGGTTAAACTACCATGTCATGTGTGGACTTATACTGCCATATCATGAGTAGAATGTTATAATCTAAAGACATGTACGCTGACTGGTACACTGATGACGCGCACACTGACTGGTACACTGATGTCACGTACACTGACTGGTACACTGATGACACACACACAGACTGGTACACTGATGACATGCACACAGACTGGTACACTGATGACACACACACAGACTGGTACACTGATGACATGCACACAGACTGGTACACTGATGACATGTACACAGACTGGTACACTGATGTCATTTACACAGATAAGTACACTGATGATATGTAAACACATTATAATATATTAATGTCATATGTGGACTGTTAAAATTTAACTCTTTGAGTCCCAAGGGGTTTAACATCAGAGGCTCAAAAAAAGACGTAAAATCGTGTGCATCTTGCTCTCACTGGGCCTCTAGATAGGAACCTATAAACGTATGATGCGTTCTTTGAGACTCAAAGAGTAACATGTAAAAAAAAGCTCATTATTACCATGTATATACAGTAGAGTAGCAGGTGACCGAACAGTAAGAATGCTGCGCCCTCATACTGGAGACCCAGGTTCGAATCCTCTGTAAGATTGTGGATTTTTTTTATTCGGAAGGCAAAAATAAAATCCTAACCCGCAGTCTGTGGCGACAGCACTAGCCATGTGGCTGTATATCCTCAGATCACAGTGATAAATATAGGCAGAATTGGCAGTTTTTGACACATAGAATACACCAGTACACACCTGATTTCTCAACTGCTACAAAGAGATTTGTTGCTATTTTGTAAATGCAGCTGATATACTTCTTATAAGCTTCCTGTTCGGAAAAAAAAAAATTAATGTAAAGATAGATCATACATAGGGTTACTGACAAATGGCTTCAACTGTGGTCCAGAAGGATAATGAAAACTGTAATGACTCCATAACAAAATAACAAATAGTATAGGCCTTACTGTGACCCATCAGGAGGAAGGCAATGAATAAAGGGCGTATGAGACAAAAGTGTTTACCTGATGTACTGGGCTTTAGTTTAAAAAAAAAAAAAAATCTCCAGAAAGAAGTAATAACACATAATCTTTCAATGGGTCAAATGAGCAATTAAAATGACATGAATCTCATTCTGAAGAAAACCTAGCTGCAGTACCAAATAAACTGTAAAGACATTCTGAAGAAAACCTAGCTGCAGTACCAAATAAACTGTAAAGACATTCTGAAGAAAACCTAGCTGCAGTACCAAATAAACTGTAAAGACATTCTGAAGAAAACCTAGCTGCAGTACCAAATAAACTGTAAAGACATTCTGAAGAAAACCTAGCTGCAATACCAAATAAACTGTAAAGACATTCTGAAGAAAACCTAGCTGCAGTACCAAATAAACTGTAAAGACATTCTGAAGAAAACCTAGCTGCAGTACCAAATAAACTGTAAAGACATTCTGAAGAAAACCTAGCTGCAGTACCAAATAAACTGTAAAGACATTCTGAAGAAAACCTAGCTGCAGTACCAAATAAACTGTAAAGACATTCTGAAGAAAACCTAGCTGCAGTACCAAATAAACTGTAAAGACATTCTGAAGAAAATCTAGCTGCAGTACCAAATAAACTGTAAAGACATTCTGAAGAAAACCTAGCTGCAGTACCAAATAAACTGTAAAGACATTCTGAAGAAAACCTAGCTGCAGTACCAAATAAACTGTAAAGACATTCTGAAGAAAACCTAGCTGCAGTACCAAATAAACTGTAAAGACATTCTGAAGAAAACCTAGCTGCAGTACCAAATAAACTGTAAAGAAATCGGCTCTACTGGCAAATCCGGACGAAGAATAAACAGCCGTAAACGACTTAGTCAGAGTTCTCTCCCTTGGCCGCACTCCAAACAGTGATCGGAAAACAAACGAAACAAACGACACACTTAGCTATCATCCTGCGGTTGCGTGTAGGGCTGCGTACGGTTGCGTGAGGCATCGTGGCATCATCATATGGTTGCGTGCAGGGTTGCGGACGGTTGCGTGAGGCATTGTGAATGGTTGTGTAGTCATCATCATGCGGTTGTTGGTTGGATTAGAGTTAGGGGTAGGGTTAGGGTTAGGGGTAGGGTTAGGGTTAGGGGTTGGGTTAGGGTTAGGGGTTGGGTTAGGGTTAGGGGTAGGGTTAAGGGTTAGGGTTAGGGGTAGGGTTAGGGTTAGGGGTAGGGTTAGGGTTAGGGTTAGATGTGAAAATTTTGACGTAGGATTTCGAAATACTGGCCGACAATATGATGTTTGTGGGAGTGGCGCCACTGAAACTCTGCCAAATATGACGCCAATAGCGTGCGGCTGGTGCCCCCAATCGTTGGCGAATTGTGCGTTTGACCAGCATCCAGAGGCCCTCGATTGTTTGTGTGTGTGTATGGGACTGTGCGCGATTATAGGGAACTCCGGCGTCAAAATTGTCAAATCTAACGCTAAACCTAACCCTACCGCTAACCCTAATCCTAATCCTACTCCCTAACCCTAACCCCTACCCCCGCAAATTTATCGATCATTAAAGCATACACTTCGGCAAACACCAACAAACAAAACACACCCAACCACAAAAACACCCAGAATTGTCTTGCAGCGTCGAAAAAAAACCCCAGATCTGGGGGAAACAACCAAGTATTGGCACCCTGATGTCGACGTGACTGTCTTCTTTGTTTCGTTGTGGCTTTTCCGATCACTGTTTGGAGTGCGGCCACGGGAGAGAACTCTGACTAAGTAGTCCAAGGCTGTTTATTCTTCGTCCGGATTTGACAGTAGAGCCAAGAAATCTAAGAAACAAGATTATTTCAACCAGCCAAATTAGAAAGAAAGGAACTCTTCGCCTAGAAAAAAAAGGATAGGGCATGGAGTGAGCAAATAACAAGGACAGAAAATGAAAGAACTTGGCTGTTTGATTACCAACACAAGAAAATATTATAGAAAGTAAAGGCAGCTGATGTGACAATGACAGCATAGTGATAATAACAGCATGGTTTCTTCTTCTTCTTCTTTCGTTCGCCTGAAATAAGTTGTCTATATCAGCAGTTTTGTCTCTTGTATAAATTTCACTGTCGTTGTTAGTTCATTCAGTGGTCCTTAGAGTTTACGTTCCACTGTTGTTCTTTCTGGCCAAAAGGTTTGCCTTAATGTGTCAAATTCGGTGCAGTCCTGGAGTACATGCTCTGCTGTCTGGGGCACATTTCCACAGGTGCACATGGCTGATACACCTATCTTGAATTTTGTGTACATGTGGTTACGTAATTGGTTGAGGCAGAGGATAATGACTTGTTCTGGTCTGTCCATAATAAAATAGTCGTCTTGTGCTGGGGCTGGTGGTGTCCTGATCGATTTAATGATTCTTTTCTTTTGGTGGTATGTGACTGGTACATTCGGCTGCTCTTTTGTCGCATCTTCCCCTGCCAGTTGATCAGCTTTCTCATTTCCAGGCACTCCACAATGAGAGGGTATCCACTGCATTACGACTCTTCGCTGAACGCTGAGTTGTGTCAGCAGTGTTTTCAGCATGGTTATAATGAAAGTAAGTTAATCATGACAGCGTGGTGGTAATAAAAGCTTGGTGATCATGACAGCATGACGATCACGACAGCATGGTGATTATGACAACATGGTGATTATGACAGTATGGCATAATGACAACACCTAGCTGTAAAACAAAACCCCAACGTATGAACTGCTCTTTTAGTTACAATACAGGGAGAAATACCTGATCCTCATTGTTGTCATCTAGCAGCAAAGCTTCTCCGATTTCTTTCACAAGAGTTGACAGACTTGTTTCTGGCATGCTTCTCTGGTATACGTCACCAGTTCTCTTAATAAAAGCCTCCCAAAGTTATCAATATTCACCATAGTCAAATGGAAGGTAGTGACTTTATTCCATTCTCAGTTTCTGCTGGAAATATGGCAATATTTCTATTATCATATGCACTGGCAAGACAACAGCAGCTTTTAACAGCCAGAACAAAATGTGGAACTCGACATTATACAGGTTTATAACCAAGTTAACGTATACTGAATTTGAATGTTATTTTAACACAGGCTAGTGAAAGTAGGAGAGTACTGGAGACATGGGGAGAGTTAAATACAACTGAAACTGATGAAGATTTTTTTTTTTTTAATCGATCACTGGCTGTGAATTCCGGCGGAAGGTCCCGGTTAATCGTCCGCTTGGACTTTTGGCTTTCACCTGGACCTGATTTTTGCGTGTACAACCGTTTTAATGTCCCTGCCTCGTGGGCAGCTGTACTCCGACTTCGAAGGAAGACGTCAGGCCTATATCTAGGATGACTGTGGCCATTGTTTTGTGTGGGCCAAGACGTTGCCTGATTTGTGTGGTGTCCACTTTATCACCTTCTCCGCAGGTATTGCCCCCGGAGTACCCCTTTGGGGCAGCCCCCTGTGGAACGGTTAGCCCTCAAGGGAAGGCAGGGGCAGATCATGGGCATTCCCCGCCATCCAAGGAGGCTTCCATGTATGCAGAGCCGGCACATGGCGCTCTGGTTCTGGGCTCACCCAAGGAATTGTCACGTCCTGCACATGCCTGCTAAACCTCACAACCGTATCAGACCTCCCGCTCGACAAGGGCTGCGCCCTCTGGAAGTCAGCGGGGAGCAGCCCGTGGGTTTTGGATTTTTGTGACCACACGAATAGGTACATTCTTTTTTTTTTCTTCGCACGTTAGATTTCTTTGACGAGCCGTTAGCCCGACAGAATTTTACATCCTGCGTCAGGCATATCATTATCAGTTTGATCCCAACACTCGGGCGAGTGGGGTCTTTGGGTGTGGACATTTGGTCTTTTTCCGTTCAATACAAATTGTGATGGTCAGATTTTGAGCTTGCTCGTGCGCCGTAGGATCTAGTTTTGTCGGACATTTAGGCTTAGCCATCCGATGGATGGTTGCTGTCTTGGCGTACCTCAGCGCGGTGACGACTACACTGAGGGTTAACCGAGGATGTTCATGGATGGCCAGCCTATGGATGGTTGCTGTTGCGGTGTACCTCAGCGCGGTGACGACGACACTGAGGGTTAACAGAGGATGTACAGTGAACAATGTTCTCTTCACTCCGCAATCTTTTAACGAGGGGTTGTAATTTTAGCTGTACGTTTGGCAAACATACTCATGTTCCTAATGAGTTTTGATAACCTTTTTTACCCAAGCGTTTGGGGGCAGGCTGATGAGAGCCACAAGGACACATCACCTCTGGGGGCCGCCAAACTCCGAGATCCCCTGACAGCTCTGTTAATGCTCATTTGAGACATTATCCGTGGTGCACGACGAGGACGTGCTGCAGGGGTCTTGCGTGAGGTTCCGTACAACCAGGATAGTGAAGGACTGGCACCCGAGTGACGTACGGAGTATCTCCTTATACACATCATGTTGGACATAACTTTTCCTCACGCCTGTGACATAAATCACCGCGCCACTGATGAAGATTAAATGTAATGAATTCATGAAAGGTGAAGACTGAGAAATATCTGGATAACTGCTGATATGGACACTTTGTAGGCAAAGATTGTTGTAAACTGGGTACATCCTGAGAAAAAGCAAGCAGGGAATCACCAGCTACTGAAATGTGAAACAAATTAATCCGAGGAAGTAAGGTGTCTAAGAGTGCTAAGGCATAAAGCTAACGAGATAGGTCAAAGATGCGGGACTGGATTACATCCATGCTGTATAGCCCCTTCTGCGGCGGGGAAGGGGCTATACTAGATGGCTGGGACTCACGAGCAGCAGCTACCGCTTCTCCTGCAGCTTCCTCCATTGTTTTTGCTCATGAGTCCTAGCCATCTAGTTTAGCCCCTTCCGCGCCGCGCGTAGCGGCACGGGGGATACTCTCGGATGTGGCACTATAGTCGCAGGAAACAGTCATGAGCTATTTCTTCCGTCGCAACTGTCAGCGTGGTCGCATTCGCCACGGTCAAGGGGTCGTCGGGATAGGGGAGCGCCATAGTGGCGGCTGCTGGTTTGAAGTTGTCCCGAGGCGACTGCTGGTTTGAAGTTGTCCAGAGCCGACGTGCGCGTACATTAAAACGCACATTATTGATTATGTGTCGCTCAGAACAAGAATCGCGGACAAGCCACACTCTGTTGAAATGGCGGACAGACAGAAATAACAGATATTCGGACACTATTTGCAACTTCTGTGCCACAATTTTCACACATAAAAGATTTAACTGTCGGTAAGTAGTAGACTTCGCCCCTTTCCTCATATTTTTTGTTCCTTATATTTTCCGAGCTACAACTTTAAAATCTTTGTAGGGTAGGACGTAATGAGGCTCTGTTAGGGTTAACTTTCTGCGTAAATCATTTGGAACCGTTATTTAAAGGAGAGCCAGAAGTTGTATACAGTATACAGGGCAATAACAGGTTTTAATAATTATTACGGAGTAGAATTCATTATTTATGGTTTTAAAATATTCATTGTCTACAAACCACCAATATACACAACTGTATCCCTTTCTGCGATCTGAATGACGACGAAAGTAAGAGGCAGAGCTATACTGTATGACGAGAAACAGTCCAGCTAGTTTAAAACAAAAATGTGACTTCCAACTCCCAGACTGAAGTTTATTTACAGGCGGAAGCTAATCATAAAAAGAAAACTAGACTGAAGTTCAAGTAAATAACAAAAACTGGCAGTAATCCATGATCTTAGTTCTAGTTATACGGTGTGTCCTGAAAAATCCGCAAGCCAGTAAACAACAGAAGTTAGACGGCTGAAGATATACAGTTCTAGCAGACAAATAGGACACAAACAAACAAACAAACTTGATGACAGATGGCGAGAGTCGGAATCAACAACACGTCTGCTGGAAAGTAGGCCTGGGCTGGATCGAGTCTACAGGGTAAAATAATGGCACAGTGCCTGATGGAATGTATTGTTGGGTGTGATCGAATAAAAAGTACTCGCACACCAGTAGTTGACTAAAGCGATTATCAAGTTGGTGATACTAATCCCCAACAATCAACGTATCAGTTCCCTATGTTCCATCAGAATTAAACAGTCGTTATTTTTCGGACATGTTATGAGAAGAGGGAAATTAGAACATGTTGTGACCACCGGAAAGATCTGTGGAAGGAGGGATAGAGGAAGACAACGAGAGAAGATGCTTGACAGTCTTGTTGCATGGCATGGAGGTGTGTCGGCACACGAACTGATACATGCTGCAGGAGATCGCAGATTATGGAGAGGCATGATCGCCCACGCTAGTCGGCAAGGCACCTGATGATGGTGATGATGTTCCATCCGTTGTTTTGTGGAAAAAGGGCATAGACCCAATGTCCCTAATATGTAATAAGCATGTCGTAGGAGGCGACTATTTTTTAATGGTTTACAACTGGTAAACGCTAAGAAGAAAAGAACGTAGCATTAGTGCTGCATCAGGGTTATACGCTGAATGTTGAATTAAGAATCGACATTACAGCATTCAGGATATCTTCCCCATCTTCAGCAGCAAGCGAAGAGTCCCAAGTGACCGACTGTATATTCCCCTCGCTTTTCCCTTGAGTGCTGGTTACTCCTTGCAGCGCCATTCTCCCCCTAGACTGTAATGAAATGATCTATGTTTGCCTTTACACTGTTCACTCGCTCCCAAAAAGGCCCTCACAACATTTAACCTATTATACGATGCTAGACTTATATCGGCAGTCGATGGATGATGTATTCAGCATCGCGTCGACCAACTTTACTTCCTAGTACATATTTTTTAGTTGCATATCTTTTACATGACGGTGCAGAACCAACCCCGGCATTTTTTGGGCTCTTGTGGTTTTTCTAGGCAGATTTACGTCCAGTTGTTTGCTATTGCTTTCTAGACGGTCGGCTTCTGGATACCATTGTCGAAACCAACGCAGGACGCAAGGCCCGCAGTTAGGATCAAACCTGGCATTACAAAGCGCGTTCGCAACGCCTAAGCCTCAGACGCCGACCATAGGGCATTACCTGTTACAAATATTAGGAAGCAGCGTTAATTGGGGGGGGGGGGGATCCCACTCCGTGTGTATTTGACTCAAAAATCTTTTGACCAGCAAACGAACACCTAACCACTAAATTATCTCGGCTCCTTTAATGTAATAGTAGTTTTCAGCTAAATAATATCCTCTTTAACTCCCAAAATGTATGGGTCCCCCCCCCCCCATATGAGTGCCCATAATATCAATACATCTACTCCAAAACGTGCATTCAGTTAAGAGAAATTCTCTGGAAATGACCAGAAATGGCCTGCACCAGAAAAGACGAGTTTTGACTTTGTGATTAATATTAATGGCACTGCTGTTCTGAACTGTAGAGATGTCAGAGTGGTGTGGACATCTTAAGAGAATATGTGTAGAGATTTCTTGAGACGACAATGAAGTGCAATTACTACTTTAAGCCTGCAGCTGAAGATCCTACTAACACCTTCATCACATCATCAAATAATTTACCATCTAGCCAAAACAGATATTGATTGTTTCTGGGATTAGTAAAAACACAGGGCCGGCTACTCCTGACACGAGAACAACAAAAATATCAGTTTCGCTGTTGCCCGTGACGTTGATATTTTGTTTTGATTGCTGTCTGGTGATGGAATTGTCGTGCGGGGTTTTCATTTGTGGTTTAACACATTTTTTGAATAGCATCATATCGTCAAAAACTTTGCTTAAATAAAAATTATAAGGATCTACAAGGAGCTAAACGTCCCAGATGACCACCGACCTCTGCAGACAGATGTTTCTAGTTTTTTAGTTTTTAGTTCCATTTCTCTGATTCTGATCGTTTCATTTTCAAGTCTGTGGTAGTGGCTGGTAGTTAGTAGTATACAGTATACTAGAGTAATTGTAAGTACTGGTAGTACAGTACAGTACTACAATTTAACAAATTGTGTTATATCACTACTGCATAGTTTACTACAACGTCACCTAGACTTCACGCATGATAAGTGTACTTAATTACACAGTAACTTCTGCTAGTTACTACCTAAAGAAAAGAATGAGCTGCAGTTAAAAAAAAAATTAGCATTTAAATGCTAATTTGGTTGATTAGGCCGTTAAAGAAAAAATTCGCCCGCACGACAGTGATTATTTCATGTACAATAGACAATGTGTAAATTATTGTACTGGTTGTAATGAAATATATACTAACTGATATATTGATGATCGTTTTTATTACGTCTGCTGTTACAACATGGAGTCAGCCGGTGCAGAAATTCTCATCAGTAACTACAGTGGCTTGTCTTGTCGGTTGTTGAACCTTCTCACCAGCAGTGACCTGTGTGATGTCCAGTTGCAAGTAGGCGAATATAGATTTGACACCCACAAGTTGATTCTGTGTGCAAGCAGTGATGTATTTAAAACCATGTTGACCAATCAGAAGTGGACTGAGGCACACAAGCAGTCAGTTGTACTGGTAGAAGAGCCAGTGTGTGAGCCTGTATTTGATAGATTTGTCAACTATATTTACAGTGGTCAGTTGTATATTTCTCATAGCACTGTGTGCCCTTTGCTAACCCTGGCGGACAAATACAATGTTCGTGAAATGATTCCCTTGTGCCGCTCATATATGCTGCAAAGTCTAGATGCTCCGCTGACCAGCTCATGCGTGTTGCAATGGTGGGAAAATGCCAACATGCGCAACGACGTGGAATTAGAATCTGCAATTCTTGATTATATTGAGTGCAACTTTAACAAAGTGATTCAGACACCAGATTTTATCAGTGCAAACTTGGACACTGTGGAGAAGTTACTTGTTAGCTCCAAACTGGCAGTACATAATGAGGCCATGATTTTGTACGGGGTCATGGTGTGGTTGCAGTCATACATGGACTGTCACCACCCTCCAGTTTACACAGTCAGAGAAGTCGTTTGGAGGTTGACCCGGCACATTCGTTGGCCTATGATGACAGAAGAGGAATTGAAGTGTATTAGAGAATGTGCAGACGTTCAGAGATTTCTACAGACATATGGTTCTTTTATGTATCTGCCAAATATCAACAGTCGTGTGATTTCTGAGGCTTCTCTGTCAGAAACAAACACTCAAGAAGCTTCCATTTTACAACATCTGACAAAAGTAATCGATGACCGGAATATATTCAAGTATTCTGGTTCAACTTCTGATCCGTTCGAGCATATGATTTCTGACAAGCAAGGTCATAGTTCATCTTCATGTTCCAAAATGAGAACAGATAATCGTAGCTGGAAGCAGGCAAGTGTTGAGGAGTATGAGATCAATCGGCAGATGTCTCGTGTGTACACTTGCGATTACTGGTGTACTGCATTAACAGTCTCCAATTTCCTGGCCTTCCCGCAGTATGCCACGCAGACATTCTTCTTCTCGACACCGTGGACAGGTTACAGGCATGATGACGGGCACACCTTGGACTGGGAGGTGAGGATTTTCTCATTAAACAGAACCATACAGACATTGATACAGCTCATCGTATCTAGTGTTTAGATATAGTAATGTAATTACATTAGTGGAAGACCCTTTTACCTTTTTTCTTTTATGACCTTGCTGATCTTTCCTACAGTTTATAATTTTAATTTAGTGCTCTTTTCTTGTGTTTTTGAGTATTCTGAGCCCTTGAGCCCATTGCTGCAGATATCATCAGCCTCTCTTCATCTCTGTGACTAGCCTTCTCTTTCTAGTTGGTGGCTCCAAGTGTTTGTAGGTCTGCCTGGTGATCTACTCCCATACATCTCTTTTGTGAATGTAATTTTTGACTCTTTGTTATCAGCCATTCTCTATTATGCCCCAACCATCACAGTAGTATAGCCTTCATGAAGCCAGTAATTATTGCTGATTTAAAGAGATTATGACCCTTTTTAGTTGTTCTCACTCTCCACTTCTCCGCTGTTTGCATATTTGATGGTTCCAAAGATTTATCTAAGACCCTGTTCTCAAAAGTTTGTAATAAGGCTACACTCAGTACTATGATAAAGGACATTATACTTTGATGTAACATTTTCTGATGTAGAAAAGTCATTCTGACATTGATACAGTTTATCATATCTAGAATGCAGATATAAAGATATACTTGATGTAATCATTGTCCTTTCAGTCAGGTGATATTTCTCAGCACAGTGTTAGCCACCAAGATAAGACAGAGCAGCAAACGCCATGGTTTCCCTTTATTCCTTCATTATTCTTTAAAAAAATGTTGTGTCTAGAACATGAAATATTTTTTCAAGAATATAAAAAAATCTAGACAAGCATGTGTAATTTTGACTGACAATCTTGATAGCAGTGTACAAACATCTTGACAAGAATATACAAACATCTAGACAAGCACACGTACAAACAGCTTGAGAAAGACCAACAGCCTTGATAACAGTGTACAAACATCTAGACCTCATTTTATGATCATATGACAGCCACCATAGTGGAAGACTACCTCTAAATATTGACACCCTCTGTAAATGATCTCAGACTAGACTAGAGATGGGACTACACCCAAGAGTCTGTAAATGATCTCAGACTAGACTTAGAGATGGGACTACACCCAAAAGTCTGTAAATGATCTCAGACTAGACTAGAGTTGGGACAACACCCAAGAGTCTGTAAATGATCTCAGACTAGACTAGAGATGGGACTACACCCAAGAGTCTGTAAATGATCTCAGACTAGACTAGAGTTGGGACCACAACCAAGAGTCTGTAAATGATCTCAGACTAGACTAGAGTTGGGACTACACCCAAGAGTCTGTAAATGATCTCAGACTAGACTGGAGTTGGGACTACACCCAAGAGTCTGTAAATGATCTCAGACTAGACTAGAGATGGGACTACACCCAAGAGTCTGTAAATGATCTCAGACTAGACTAGAGATGGGACTACACCCAAGAGTCTGTAAATGATCTCAGACTAGACTAGAGATGGGACTACACCCAAGAGTCTGTAAATGATCTCAGACTAGACTAGAGCTGAGACGGTATCAGACACTTGTAAATCATCCTGTACTAGACTAAAACTTGGACCTAAGACAGTCTGTAACTGACAATGAACCCACAGTCACAGCAATCTCAGATATTCTGTAACTGACAATGAACCCACAGTCACAGCAATCTCCGATATTCTGTAACTGACAATGAACCCACAGTCACAGCAATCTCAGATATTCTGTAACTGACAATGAACCCACAGTCACAGCAATCTCCGATATTTTGTAACTGACAATGAACCCACAGTCACAGCAATCTCAGATATTCTGTAACTGACAATGAACCCACAGTCACAGCAATCTCAGATATTCTGTAACTGACAATGAACCCACAGTCACAGCAATCTCAGATATTCTGTAACTGACAATGAACCCACAGTCACAGCAATCTCAGATATTCTGTAACTGACAATGAACCCACAGTCACAGCAATCTCAGATATTCTGTAACTGACAATGAACCCACAGTCACAGCAATCTCAGATATTCTGTAACTGATATCCTAGACCAGGACAAAGGATTTATAATACTTTGTTTTATCTAGCTTCATATTGTGTACCATTTTTGTCTCTGTTGATATTCCTTTTCAAGAATGCTAACCAATCGGTTTTTTAATCCTTAAAACAAACAAAAAACAACAGGTAGAACTTTGTCCAAAAGGTGTCCACTTTCCTCCAGCCATCCTCATTGGCCTTGAGCGAGATGGCAATAAACTGGTGGATGAGTCTTACATACGTACTGTGCGGTTATCTCTGATGTCAAGGTCACCTCAAGAGCTTCCCCTAAAGGTTGGTATTTTAATTGGTACAGTTAGTTCTCTTACCCCCAGCTGTCATCTTCTTCTTCTTTTTCTTCTCTTTTTTTCTTCTTCTTCTACTACAGTGTTCCAGCACTTGAGACTCGATGCAGATACACCCCTCCCCCCTGTCCAATTCAACTCTGTGATTTGCCTTCTCTTTGAAGTTGATAGATCCAGGAGTTCAAATGTCTGTGTATATTATCTCTGCACCATCTTTTTGGTCTTCCATTGAGCTCTCATGTATGCTCTCTCTCTCTCTCTCTCCCTCTCTCTCTCTCTCTCTCTCTCTCTCTCTCTCTCTCTCTCTCTCTCCTCTCTCTCTCTCTCTCTCTCTCCCTCTCTCTCCCTCTCTCTCTCTCTCTCTCTCTCTCTCTCTCTCTCTCTCTCTCTCTCTCTCTCTCCCTCTCTCTCTCTCTCTCTCTCCCTCTCTCTCTCTCCCTCCCTCCCTCCCTCTCTCTCTCTCTCTCTCTCTCTCATCTGCTATTCTCACTGTATAACCCAGCCATCGCAGACTGTGAGCATCCACAATGCCAATAATTAGTTGTGATTTCAACAGATTATGAATCTCAGTGTTGTTTCTGGCTCTTGCAACCCTACAGTGATGACAACTATTATTTTATAATTATTTTTGTTTTCTGCACATTCTGGAATAGGATTGCCTAAAATGTTTTCTTTACTTAACCTCTTGAATTTCAGTATTCAAGTTAAAAAAAAAAAAGTGGGAGCCACATTAACACAGTAACGAATGCTTGCCTGAAGCTTTTGAGTTCAAATCTATACCTGGACAGGTTTGGTTAAAACTGACCTTGGCAACTAAATTGACCCAGCCCAAAATAAGCACCAGGTAATGTCCTGGGAAGTAAAGGTGGCTGGCATGTTTTAACGGCATCACCCACTGGGTACCGATTGGTCTGTACAAATCTGAGTTAAGCATCATCTGGCACTGGCAAAACAAGGGTTCATTTTTTAAAATTAACCTTGGTTGCCAGGTTGACCCAGCCCGCTATGAGCACTAGATAATGTTCTGGGAAGTAGGCGGCCAGTGTGATAATGTCTGTCTAGCATCATATCCCTGATGTACCACAGGCTTATAAGGGTACTTTACTGTACTACAGACTACTGTACTGTACTTTCCTGCACTATTGTACTGTACTTTACTGTACCACTGTACTGTACTGTACTGTACTTTACTGCACCACTATACTGTACTGTACTTTCCTGCACTATACTGAACTGTACTTTACTGCACTTCTATAAGGTACTACACTTCAATGCACTACTATACCGTACCATATTTTACTGCATCTACTGTCCTGTAATTAACTGCATCACTTTACTGTACTGTACTTTACTGCACCACTTTACTGTACTGTACTTTACTGCACCACTTTACTGTACTGTACTGTACTGCAGCACTTTACTGTACTGTACTTACTGACATGCGAACTATAAATGTAAAAAAATAATCTATCTATCTTGTAGCAGGTCCTTTGCAGAATGCCGCTGCCATCACAGCCTGCCTGAATGAAACTCATTTCCTCGACAGTTCTCTCACCTCATGCATTTTTCTTTCCCAGGTGTCACATATCCTGTGCCAATCTTCTTGCTGGTCCGTCTCTGTCCCTCTTTCCTGGTACCATGCCTTGTGCTGCCATTTGTTTCCAGTCTGCTGTGGTGCTTGATATAGCCAAAATATTTCAGTTTCTCAGACAAGATGCTGTTTACTTGCCAATTTTCTTTAGTTTTCCGAACTTTTAGAATGTCAGTATTTCTTTTCTTCTTAGTCTATGGTATACTAACAGTCTTTCTATAGTGTTTCAGCTAAAAATTCCCTATTTTCTTCCCTAAGGACTGTGAAATAGTCCACAACTCATTCAGTATGTTGCTACAGGGAAATTGCATGCTCTCAGAATTGTGACCGACTTCCTTGGTGGTGCTTAACCATAGACTTTTAATTCTGATAAATATAATATAAACTAAAAAAAAAATGTAAAATAAAGCAGAAATAAAAATATATAAAACTGTAAATGAAAAGGACCCTTGATTGTAGTTCACTTTGACTTACTGCTACAGATAAACTACGTTCCGTCTTGATTCACAAACTACGTTCCGTCTTGATTCACAGGTTGAGGTGAATGTTCTAGTCCGAGCTAACAGCCTCTCAGAGCCGCAGCGCTCTTTTGTTGAGCGATGTCACAGGCGGACATGTATTTTCGACAGCAAACACCAGCGATACAACCTGGATGATATTGTGCCTTATGAGAAATTTGCAACATACCTGCGGCCAGATGGTCTGACACCACAAGTGTACCTGGCACCGACTGTGGCGTTCACTGTCTACATTGTTATACGACCTTTACCGTTATATTATTCAAAGTGATATTTGTTTTTCTAGTATAGAATTGAAGCCACTGTTTCCTTTGTTGCTTTTGATGTGTGTTTTTTTTTTTTAAGAATGCATGTATTCCTCTAGTGAGAACTTTATTGTAGAATATGACTTCTAAAAACTCGTAGATATTTAAATAATATCATTAGCAACAAACAAACAAAAATATAAAAATAAAGAATTGTTTTAATTTGAGAATTGAGGACATTTTCCTTGTATGCATCTCATTGTTGGACACAATGTTTGTTGGTTTCTCATTGTTGGACACAATGTTTGTTGGTTTCTCATTGTTGGACACAATGTTTGTTGGTTTCTCATTGTTGGACACAATGTTTGTTGGTTTCTCATTGTTGGACATAATGTTTGTTGGTTTCTCATTGTTGGACACAATGTTTGTTGGTGTCTCATTCTTGGACACAATGTTTGTTGGTTTCTCATTGTTGGACACAATATTTGTTGGTTTCTCATTGTTGGACACAATGTTTGTTGGTTTCTCATTGTTGGACACAATGTTTGTTGGTTTCTCATTGTTGAAAACAATGTTTGTTGGTTTCTCATTGTTGGACACAATGTTTGTTGGTTTCTCATTGTTGGACACAATGTTTGTTGGTTTCTCATTGTTGAAAACAATGTTTGTTGAAGTTTTCAGTTTTTTTTAATACCCAAAGACCAGCCAGCCAGTATTTTGAGCTGTTTCAAAATGTTTGTGATGAAAAAACTTCTATTAAACTTTTCTCTTTGTTTTTTCCTGGCTATAAATTTTAAATATTCTTTTATTTCTAATTATAGTGCCAGTCTAGTTTTAAACATTAATGAAAGTAAAAATGTGAGTATTCTGTTAGAGTACTCAAACCTGTGCCAACCCTCCTAAGTCACTTCTTATGACATGCATGGAGGGTTTAAGTGTTAGTAATAATGGCTTAAAGGTTAATGAATGCATTTAACAATTTCATAATCCTAGAATACTAGGATGGGGCCTCACAGCATAATATACTCAAAGGTGACTGGATTCCTTGCAACCAGCCTTTATTACAGAGATTTCGCTTAATCAACATTAATGAAAAGGACCATATGCCGTGTGAGCCAGAACATAGTTTCTAGTCTATGGCGTCAGTTCATAAGTCAAATGTCCAATCTTTCGACATTTAATATCCTTAAGATTATTTTGTTTTATAGATCGTTACATCTGATGGTTGTCTGTGAGTTTGGTATTATATGTGCACTCATGATTTTATTTTAATACCTCATCATCAAGTGCCTTGATGTCTGGTGTGGGTGATCATGTCTCTCTAAAACCTGCGATCTCCAACAGCATTCAACAGCTCATGTACTGACACCCCTCCAGGCCGTGACAGCATTCAACAGCTCATGTACTGACACCCCTCCAGGCCGTGACAGCATTCAACAGCTCATGTACTGACATCTTTCCTAGCTGTGACAGCATTCAACAGCTCATGTATTGACATCTTTCCAGGCCATGACAGCATTCAACAGCTCATGTACTGACACCCCTCTAGGCCGTGACAGCATTCAACAGCTCATGTACGGACATCCCTCCAGGCCGTGACAGCATTCAACAGCTCATGTACTGACATCCCTCCAGGCCGTGACAGCATTCAACAGCTCATGTACTGACATCCCTCTAGGCCGTGACTGCATTCAACAGCTCATGTACTGACATCCCTCCAGGCCGTGACAGCATTCAACAGCTCATGTACTGACATCCCTCCAGGCCATGACAGCATTCAACAGCTCATGTACTGACATCCTTCCAGGCCGTGACAGCATTCAACAGCTCATGTACTGACATTCCTCCAGGCCATGACAGCATTCAACAGCTCATGTACTGACACCACTCCTGGCTGTGACAGCATTCAACAGCTCATGTACTGACATTCCTCCAGGCCGTGACAGCATTCAACAGCTCATGTACTGACATTCCTCCAGGCCGTGACAGCATTCAACAGCTCATGTACTGACACCACTCCTGGCTGTGACAGCATTCAACAGCTAATGTACTGACACCACTCCTGGCTGTGACAGCATTCAACAGCTCATGTACTGACACCACTCCTGGCTGTGACAGCATTCAACAGCTCATGTACTGACACCACTCCTGGCTGTGACAGCATTCAACAGCTCATGTACTGACACCACTCCTGGCTGTGACAGCATTCAACAGCTCATGTACTGACATCCCTCTAGGCCGTGACAGCAGGCTGTCAAGAAACTTCTCACATTGTGTTACTCTATCTCTCATAAAGTGTTCCAGTTTCTGTCTTCTCTCATTGTGTGACTCTATCTCTCATAAAGTGTTCCAGTTTCTGTCTTCTCACATTGTGTTACTCTATCTCTCATAAAGTGTTCCAGTTTCTGTCTTCTTACATTGTGTTACTCTATCTCTCATAAAGTGTTCCAGTTTCTGTCTTCTCTCATTGTGTGACTCTATCTCTCATAAAGTGTTCCAGTTTCTGTCTTCTCACATTGTGTGACTCTATCTCTCATAAAGTGTTCCAGTTTCTGTCTTCTCACATTGTGTGACTCTATCTCTCATAAAGTGTTCCAGTTTCTGTCTTCTCACATCGTGTTACTCTATCTCTCATAAAGTGTTCCAGTTTCTGTCTTCTCACATCGTGTTACTCTATCTCTCATAAAGTGTTCCAGTTTCTGTCTTCTCACATCGTGTTACTCTATCTCTCATAAAGTGTTCCAGTTTCTGTCTTCTTACATTGTGTTACTCTATCTCTCATAAAGTGTTCCAGTTTCTGTCTTCTCACATTGTGTTACTCTATCTCTCATAAAGTGTTCCAGTTTCTGTCTTCTCACATTGTGTTGACTCTATCTCTCATAAAGTGTTCCAGTTTCTGTCTTCTCACATTGTGTTACTCTATCTCTCATAAAGTGTTCCAGTTTCTGTCTTCTCACATTGTGTTACTCTATCTCTCATAAAGTGTTCCAGTTTCTGTCTTCTCACATTGTGTTACTCATCTCTCATAAAGTGTTCCAGTTTCTGTCTTATCACAGTGTGGTTGAGAAATGATGACCGTTTCCTTTGATGTTTGTGGTGAAGGCATAATTGACTAGGGACAGACAGGGGTCACGTAAATATTGAAACAGAACAGACACAGCATCCATATCTGGAGAGAAGGATTCAGCTGGTAGTTAGAGAAGGATTCAGCTTAGAGAAGGATTCAGCTGGGAGTTAGAGAAGGATTCAGCTGGGAGTGAGAGAAGGATTCAGCTGGGAGTGAGAGAAGGATTCAGCTGGTAGTTAGAGGATTCAGCTGGTAGTTAGAGAAGGATTCAGCTGGGAGTGAGAGAAGGATTCAGCTGGGAGTGAGAGAAGGATTCAGCTGGGAGTGAGAGAAGGATTCAGCTGGGAGTGAGAGAGGGCCTGGACAATTTTATGCTTGCAGTAAGAAGAAAAACAAAACAGTTGAAAGTTTAATCAAGCTGCAGCTGGCACAGTCAATATGGGATAACTTGACTGGCTGCTGAGGAAGGGGGTGAAGCACATATGGAAATGTTGTGAGTGCAGTAACATCAATTCTTGATTGATTCATTCGCCCTTCTTGTAACATTTCCTAGTAGCCATTTTAGGCTAGTTTGACTTGCGAGCCCAGGAAAGTTTTCCTAAAATCTGGACATAGGTTGGGATGCACACACATGATCACCAGACTGACAGGCAAGCTTGCTTTGCTACTACACTTCCGTGGCTGCCTATTAAAATACAACCAATAATGTGTTTAAGAATATCCAGCCATATGCCAGGAGGGAACCAGGTAACTTCTGCATGCAGATGCCAAATCTTGCTGCTAAATATGAGTGTTCATTCACTGCTGGTGTAATTTGTGTTGTCAACATTGTGTGTATTTCGGTTTGATATCTTGGTAGTTGGTGAAATGGTCTATACATCATCATCATCAGGTGCCTTGCCGACTGGCGTGGGCGATCATGCCTCTCCATAATCTGCGATCTCCTGCAGCATGTATCAGTTCGTGTGTTGACACACCTCCATGCCATGCAACAAGACTGTCAAGCATATTCTCTCGTTGTCTTCCTCTATCTCTCCTTCCACATATCTTTCTAGTGGTCACAACATGTTCTATTTTCCCTCTTCTCATAACATGGCCGAAAAATGATGACTGTCTCCTTCTGATGTCTGTGATAAGTTGTCTTCGGGCTCCCGCCTCTTTCAAAACCTCTTGGTTGCTCTTTTTGGCCGTCCAAGGTATTTTAAGCATTCTTCTGTAAAACCACATCTCCTGAGGACTCCAGAAATTGTTTGGCCTGCCTACCGATTGTCCAGGATTCACAGCCATATGTTAAAACTGGATGTATGTAGCAAGCAAGAATTCTTTTTCTAACTCTCAATGACAAGGATATATTGCACAAGATGTTTTTCATTTTACAAAATGCAGTTTTTGCAGGGGGGATAACACCACCTGTTTCACCAGAATGACATACAGTTATATCATTGTGTAACATATGCATATCAGATTATAACTGAGTTTAAAGTCGTACAAAAATGTATTGTATAATTTGTATCAGCAGCATATTTGAGTTTGAATGTATACACAAATGAGCTTTATACATATGTGTTTCATATATATATATATAATGAAACATGCCGATTGTGCTTTGTTTGTCGCTCTCGACAGGTGGGTGCTGGCCGTTCTGCAGGGAGAGACTGAGCCATATAGGATAACACCTGGGGCACTGAATTTGATCGTCTGGACTTTTACTCGAGTTTATTAATCAGATCTGTTGTGAAGTAGATCAGTGCGTGTTAACTCATTCAGTACCACGGACTCACCATGAGCTTGCTGATTTCAGCTGTATCTAAGATCTACTTTTTTGCTCTACTCACTTCATATGCAGCTGTTATGTTAACCAGCTTTGTCCCATCTGTTACTTCAACTCTCTTTTTTTCCCTAGTGGTGGTATTATTTTAACTCTGCAAACCCTAACAGTGATTACTTTAAGTAAACTTTTTTTAATTGAACGAATTCAACAAACACATTATTGCATTAAAGAGGTGAGAATGCTTGATATAATGTATGATGATTGATATATTACGATGGGATAATTATAGAGAATAATATAGAGAAAAAACGAAATAAAAACTATGGAATTAGATTGTTTGATTTGGTCTGTTGTGTGAGAAAAATGTGTTTTTGTCAAATTAAGCAGATGATTGGTCTTCTTTAATAAATCAAGTGGTGAAGAAAAGATGTTGACACTGGATAGGACACATGTTGAGAAAACCTCAGAGCAATATAACTAGAATGTCTTTGCACTGGCACCCACAAGAGCAAAGAAATAAAAGTAGACCACGTACACAAATACATGCAAAAGGAGTGAAGTTAAAAACAAAAAATGGGAGGATATGGGTTGAGCTGCAAGGGATAGGTATACTTGGCTTGAGTGAAGATATGACATTCTAGAACTCTGGACGTTCCCATAAACCTTCTGTTCCCATCTTCAGCAACAAGCGCAGAGCTCCAGTTTCGATGGCACCAGTTACAATCTGACTTATCCCCGTCTCGGCCTTTCCCGGAGTCTTTTGTGTCAGCTAGATCCTCCAGTTACTCCTAGCTGCAACATTCTCTTCAGACTGTGATGTCCTGTTAATACCTACGCACTGTTTGTTCCCTTGCTTCCAAAGGGCCCTTATAACATCTAGTTTGTCGTGCATCAATGTACCATCAAGTGGTGCAAAACCAGTCAGTCTATTTACTGTTAATTTCCCAACACACTGGCATTCACTGGAACTTTTACCCACTTCTCTCCTCGCCCAAATTTATCAAGCCTGCACACATTTGTAATTATGACTTCAGCTTGCGGCATCCAAGACCTTCATCGTTTCAGCCTGGGATCTTTAGCTCTATCACCTAGGGTTTCAAACAGGAGGTGTTTCTTGTCAGCGACTGCTCTGAGGAACTGACTTTGCTTGCAGCATTTTGAGCCTATCTATGGCTGTCAGAAGTGCAAGTGAACATCGCATACAGACTACCGGGTTATTTCTTGTACACCCCATGATTACCCACATGGCTTCATTCTGTATGCGTTCAAGTTTCGTCAGCTGGTTCTTAGATGCGGTAAGAATTCCCGAGTCCATAATTTATCACCGAGAGGTTCACGAACTGAAACACAGTGAACATCACTGAGTTAGTTGAAGGCCTATGCTCCACTAATGGATAAAAGGAAGAAGCAGAAACACTCGATGCCTGGCGCTTCTTCTTTAGCATTCATAGCCTTTGATGTTTATGGCTGCCAAATATCGCCCATCTCCATTCAACTCTATGATTGGCCTTCCTTTCCTCGGGCTGACTCGCCCGGGTTGCGGCGCCTGTGGTGTGCATTGGACCAGGAGTTCCACCCACTTTCTTTGTTACACATATTTTATCAACGTCTTAACTGGGGTTACCAAATATTAAATTTGAAGTCAAAAGCCAGATCTGCCATGACGGGAACATTAACTAATGGCGCACATATTCCGCTGATGAAAACATCATCTATCCAGAGTGGACGGGCTCTAAGAGACGCTTGGTACAGTAGTTTAGCTGTACTGACCGGGAAACCCATAGCCCGTCCCAAAACGTGTGGCGGGAATGTTCGGTGTGGATATTCTTTAAAGGATACATAATTTTTGGCCTCTGCTTTCCTCTGTACAATGTTCTTTGTGTTCCACCGACCTAGAATGAAGTTTCCGAATCGTTGTCTGTACCTCGTTAACGCCTCTACTGCAGCTGCAGGCTTAATACCAGCATTGTCGTCTGATTTTACTACAAATTTGGCGCGGGAACAATAAACATTGACCCACTTTAGCACAGATACGGATTTGAGTGTGAAGTTTTTGTAGTCGTCTATAAAATCCTCCTGTATTATGTCACCAAATCGTTTCATTTCCATGTTTATTCCTACTTGAAATTTTCGGGACTTGTTGTGGTGGTTTGATCTTCCAACAAAGAATAATAAAGTCGCATTGTTATTGGGAGTGTAAGCATATGTCCCTTTCAGCCCCTGTCTTGTTCGGAGTCTGTTGTCGAAGTTTTCGGGTGAAGACACCACAGCGAACACCACATCAATTTTTCTGTTCAGACAAGCGTCCCTTGGATTGTGGATGTATTTGTAGTCATGCTTGTTGGTAGGTGGCTTGGACAAAAACTTAAAAACATCTTGTTGTTTCTCATATTCTTGGCGCAGCGTCCAGTTAAGTGATCTCAGCACATCCTTGTCTACATCAGTGGGAAATAAACTGTCGCGGGTTGATAACTGAGGTAGGGCCCGACGTGCACTGTTTTTGTGTATCATTTCCTTGATGCAAGATGCCAGTGAATTTGCGAATCTTGCATTGGAACCGGTGTGGTTCCGCCCCAAGGCAGAGCTGAAGATGGCCAGTTTGTCTTTTTGATCATAGATGTCGCTGCTTTCTGAAGGATGAAAGTGAAGCATCATTCCAATATTCGCCAAGACAGAGATGAAAAACATGGACACAATGGCCACCTGAATCGGTCTTCCATTGGTTGAAGGCGACTTCTTCTCCGAGGACCTGTCAGTAACAATAACAATAATAGTAGTAACAGAAATGATAACGCATCAGCAAATGTTCAAAGCCTGAGCAAAATACTAAACTCTAAACTCTAAAGTTTTAACACCAAGTTACGTTTTTCGGTGTTACTATTATTGAATTTTTTACATGTACTAGTGAAAGTTGGAGAACACTTAAGACTTGGCATTAAAATTAACGATGAAAAATAAAATTGGTGAACGTAAAATGGGATGGATTCAAGAGGGGTTAAGAAATAAGAGGGCAACAACAGCTATGAGACAAAGAAGATGACACCACAGTAGACACATCCTCAGAAGAAAGAGCAGAGAATCACCAGACAAGCAACACAGTTGGAAATAAGGGGATTAAGACGCCAACAAGAATTCATCAAACAAACATTAATGGGACAGGCCAAAGGTGTTGGAGAGGATTTCATCAATAATATTGAATTGAGGTCTCAGGATACAACGGAATGAAGTGATAGCCTGCGAACCTTGTGATGAAGGGATAGCCTGCGAACCTGATGTGATAAAAGGATAGCCTGCGAGCCCCACGTGATAAAGGGATAGCCTGCGAGCCCCACTTAATGAAGGGATAGCCTGCGAGCCCGATATGATGAAGGGATAGCCTGCAAGCCCGATGTGATAAAGGGATAGCCTGCGAGCCACATGTGATGAAGGGATAGCCTGCAAGCCCGATGTGATGAAGGGATAGACAGTGAGCCCTGTGATGAAGGGATAGCCAGCGAGCCCTGTGATGAAGGGATAGCCAGCGAGCCCTGTGATGAAGGGATAGCCAGCGAGCCCTGTGATGAAGGGATAGCCTGCGAACCCTGTGATGAAGGGATAGCCTGCGAACCCTGTGATGTAGGGATAGCCTGCGAGCCCTGTGATGAAGGGATAGCCTGCGAACCCTGTGATGAAGGGATAGCGTGTGAACCTTGTGATGAAGGGATAGCCTGCGAACCCTGTGATGAAGGGATAGCCTGTGAAGGATAGCCCGATGTGATAAAGGAATAGCATGCGAGCCCGATGTGATAAAGGGATAACCTGCGAGCCCCACGTGATGAAGGGATAGCCTGCGAGCCCCACGTGATGAAGGGATAGCCTGCGAGCTCCACTTGATAAAGGGATAGCCTGCGAGCCCCACGCGATGAAGGGATAGCCTGCGAGCCCCACTTGATGAAGGGATAGCCTGCGAGCCAGATGTGATGAAGGGATAGCCTGCGAGCCCTGTGATGAAGGGATAGCCTGCGAGCCGGATGTGATAAAGGGATAGCATGCGAGCCCGATGTGATAAAGGGATAGCCTGCGAGCCCCACGTGATGAAGGGATAGCCTGCGAGCCTCACGTGATGAAGGGATAGCCTGCGAGCCCCACGTGATGAAGGGATAGCCTGCGAGCTCCACGTGATGAAGGGATAGCCTGCGAGCCCCACGTGATAAAGGGATAGCCTGCGAGCCCCATGTGATGAAGGGATAGCCTGCGAGCTCCACTTGTTAAAGGGATAGCCTGCGAGCCAGATGTGATGAAGGGATAGCCTGCGAGCCCTGTGATGAAGGGATAGCCAGCGAGCCCTGTGATGAAGGGATAGCCAGCGAGCCCTGTGATGAAGGGATAGCCAGCGAGCCCTGTGATGAAGGGATAGCCTTCGAACCATGTGATGAAGGGATAGCCTTCGAACCATGTGATGAAGGGATAGCCTGCGAATCCTGTGATGAAGGGATAGAGTGTGAACCATATGATGAAGGTATAGCCTGCGAACCCTGTGATGAAGGGATAGCCTGTGAGCCCGATGTGATAAAGGGATAGCATGCGAGCCCGATGTGATAAAGGGAAAGCCTGCGAGCCCTTAGTGATGAAGGGATAGCCTGAGAGCCCCATGTGACATATAAAGGTACAACAGGGCAGGGAGTGAATATTATTAACAATAACAACAGTAGTAACAACAAGAAGTATTGTGAAAATAAGTCTTGTCACGTCGCTGGTACACAGACCTTTTTTTTTATAGATCAATCGACACTCGAAGGGTGATCTGGTCAGCATCACGCCGGCAACCTTTACCTCCTAGGTCATTACCTGGAACCCATTTTAACACAGTTTTTTTCTGGGAGTCAAGATCATGATGGGGGGGGGGGGGGGGGGGTTGACGTGGATTTGAATCCTCAAACTTGTGGCCGGCAGAAGAGTGACTAGCCGCTCTACCAACACGGCTTTCGTAGCAACAGTACTAACGGTAAATTGGAGAGTGGTAGAAACAGTCTCGATGGTAGAAACAGCATTAGTTAACCATGGCTGACTGTGGTTAGAATGTTAGTGTAAACATGACATTAAAAAAAAATAAGCACTAAATACGCACAGACACACACACACACACACACACAGACACACACACACACACACACAGACACACACACACACACACACAGACACACACACACACACACACACACACACACACACACACACAAGCAATTATGAGTTTAGGCAGAAAACATCAGAGCATCGGCATAATTATGAAAGATCAAAGTTTGAAACAAGTGGAGACAAATACTTGCGGACCATCTTCACATACATACGTAACACAGAGATGAATACAAGAATCCAGCTCCGTCTGTGGTGTCAATCAACAGATGATTTTGACTAATAAATCGAACAAATGGTGGGTGGGGGGGGGGGGGTGCTTTTTTTTTATGTCCAGAAACCATGAGTTGTAAACCCTTTGGCTCGGTACAATGGATATCGCAAACTTTCGGCCTTGATTCCATGATAGATACCGTAAACCTGGGAAATATGTGGCTCTCCTGCCTATCGCTGAATGTTGAACTAAGTTGAGCCACAAGAAGTGTTATCCGGTCGAGACTCAGCTGGTTTAACCAACTAAGCTAGCGCGTTGAGCCAACAATGGGTTGAAAAGTATTCTGATTTCCTCGGCGTATACCTACTAACAACATCGATTTGATTCTTTTACCTCCAGCTTAGTGCTTTTCTCAGGCTTCGTCCCCTTTGAACTGATATTTTTGCAGTTTGATAAAGTTGGCCGATTCATCCTAGTAGCAATTACACAATGTTACGAGGAGTACCTTTAAAACCTAATTCACAGCTGTCAGGTGCACAAGGGAGAAAACCAGAACACAATCTTTGTTCCACGGAATAAGCTGAATAATAGCACAGACCTGGTTCGATATTGATCGTATAGGATGACGACAGGGGCGCAGGCGCACAGAAAACATGGAAGGGGAAGGCTCAGACTCTCACAACTTGTCAGGAAGAGGAAAACCCTCACAACTTGTCGGGAAGAGGGAGAGAGGCTCTGCCCTGACAATTTGTCGGGAAAAAGGGAGGGGGGGGGGAGAACTCTGACAACTTGTTGGAGAGAGGGGGGGGCTCTGGCCCTGACAACTTGTTGGGGGAGAGGGGGAGCTCTGGCCCTGACAACTTGTCGGGGAGAGGGGGAGCTCTGGCCCTGACAATTTGTGGGGAGAGGGGGGGGGAGCTCTAGCCCTGAAACTTGTTGGGGAGAGGGGGAGCTCTGGGGCGGAGAGGGGGAGCTCTGGCCCTGACAACTTGTCGGGGAGAGGGGGAGCTCTGGCCCTGACAACTTGTTGGGGAGAGAGGAGGGGGGGGGGTGGAGCTCTGGCCCTGACAACTTGTTGGGGGAGAGGGGGAGCTCTGGCCCTGACAACTTGTCGGGGAGAGGGGGAGCTCTGGCCCTGACAACTTGTTGGGGAGAGGGGGGGTGGAGCTCTAGCCCTGACAACTTGTTGGGGAGAGGGGGAGCTCTGGCCCTGACAACTTGTCGGGGAGAGGGGGAGCTCTGGCCCTGACAACTTGTCGGGGAGAGGGGGAGCTCTGGCCCTGACAACTTGTTGGGGAGAGAGGAGGGGGGGGGGGGGGGGGGGGGGGTGGAGCTCTGGCCCTGACAACTTGTTGGGGAGAGGGGGAGCTCTGGCCCTGGGTTGGGGAGAGGGGGAGCTCTGGCCCTGACAACTTGTCGGGGAGAGGGGGAGGAGCTCTGGCCATGACAACTTGTCGGGGGAGGGGGAGCTCTGGCCCTGACAACTTTTGTTGGGAGGGGGGTGGAGCTCTGGCCCTGACAACTTGTTGGGGAGAGAGGGGGGGGGGAGCTCTGGCCCTGACAACTTGTCGGGGAGAGGGGGGAGCTCTGGCTCTGACAATTTGTCGGAGAGAGGGGAAGCTCTGGCCATGACAACTTGTTGGGGAGAGGGGGTGGAGCTCTGGCCCTGACAACTTGTTGGGGAGGGGGGGAGCTCTGGCCATGACAACTTGTTGGGGAGAGGGGGCGCGGTGTGTCCTGTTTTTTGGTTGGTAGGCAATTTACTTTCAGTAGTTTGTGGGTCCTTGTCTGCGTGGTCCCGAGGCATGGCGTCCGCCTCGAGCTCTGGAGTCTAGGGTTGGGGCCCTGGTGAGGGCTTGGATTGTTCCCTGGTCTCTGGGTTGTGAGATCGAACGCCCGTGTGAACGTAAGAAAAAAAAATCCCTTGGCCGTTGGAAATAGAAAAGTGTAGCCTAACGGCGCTGCCAGGGCAAAATTTGGAATTAAGAATGTACCCAAAGTATTTCAGGATCCTTGCCGGTGAAACGGAGTTCGTGCACTGTGCTCAGAAGCTTCGGACTCGGGCTTGAGTTTAAAAGTAGAACGGAGCACTTATGTGTTACACCCGTGTGCCATGATGTTGATTCGTTGAATAAATCAAGCCAAACCAAATCAAATTTCTGCGTGATTAATTATTGCTGCTATG